CTAACTAGATTCCCGGACGAGGAAGGGAGGGCCTGAAAGGAGCGTCTAATAAAAGACTAGCTTACAGTGTGGTTCAAACTCAACAAATTGAGTGGTTGGAATGTAAAAATTTCATTCTGGCAAGAATGGGCAATCGCTCTCTCCATCACCGTCAACTTCGAGAGCATTTCACATTTGTTAAAACGAAAGTACGTGAAAGGGGAAATCGCCAAATCGGGCGCTTGTATATGGCTAAACCAAACAAACAGAGAGAATTAGCTTGCGCATCTTCTTCTGCATTGAAAAAACATACGATGAATTGAGGATCTACGCACTGTTGATAATGAGCTATATCCCAACTTTGCAGCAGCTGCACCTGCTCTTGGTTTTCTGCATGATGATGCTCACTATAAATACTGTTCAGAAGAAGCAGCGGCTTTTAAGATGGCGATTGAGTTGCGTGCCCAGTTGCTCTATGTTTGCGACATCAGCCACCGTTCTATACTGTTTGAGCGATTCAAGAGCGACTAATTTCGAAGATTTTGTTCATAGGGGATCAACAATAGATGACGCGGCATGCGGTGGCACTGGCTTATTATCAAATCGATAAGTTGGAAAGTTTGCAGTAAGATTCCTTACAGAGAATCGACCCTATATTGCAACCCCGCCCAGAACGCATTTATGAAACCGATTACGACTATCATAAGCAGAAGGGGTCACAAATGTTTGAAAGTCTCAATCACCGTCAGCGTTGCATCCAACACCATTCTCGCATCGTCTGATGCTAAGCATTGGGCTGCATTTTGCTGACGGATCAGGTGGCAGTGGGAAGACGTTCCTTTATAATACCACATACCACAATTCAAAGGAAAGCGTAAATCAGTAATCTGCGTGACATGAACAGGGACAGCTGTAGGTTTGCTGCCAGAAGGAAGCCGCCAGCTCATTCTTCAAACTCAACGTGCAATAGGAAAATCTCGAATGCACCTTTCGTCACGAGAGCAGAGAAGCGATACCATTGAAAAGTGCGGATGTCATGATTAGTGGCGAAATATTAGGTTGTCCCGAAAGTTTGTCGGTTTTTTCAAACCGCAATAAAACTAAGCAAATAAAGACCTGAATGAGTTTCAACACGCATTCGATGCAGCTTTTTCTTCTCTTTCTTATGGTTACATTTCCGAGCCATAATCTGTATGCTTTTTTTGATAATTGCGACAATTCTTCACCCATCATTTTTATCTGCTCGAAGTTAGGCTAATTAAGTTCCGGAAAGGGTTATGGCACAGATAAAGCAATTTTCGGACTATACGGGGATATTTTTGAATTCTCCTGACCTGCTGTTTTTAGCTATGAACTATTATTTCTCCGGAGGTCTCGATTTTTGGCAAAGTCATGAATTACGCAACTGCAGAAAAAACATGGAAGCTTTTGAGATTTCTGCGAACTGAAACTTGATAGCTAATAAACATTACTTATTCAACATAACCAAATTCAATTTGCAATGAAAAAGCAGCTTTTGGAATTTGCGGTACTTTTACGTGGTAAACGTAATCAAAAAGCCGCGGTTTTTATTAAATAAATAATTATAACGGACTTGATAAGCGTGACCCATGTAATCTAAAACAAGCACAAGTAGCCAAGATTCGCTCTATATAACAGCGAAACTAACGCGCTTTTTGAAAACATCAGGATAAAAAAATTTTGAATTTAGAAAAGATTTGGCGTTAGAGCTGAATTGCTCAAAAAGCCATGGCGATAACATCGCAAAGACAGGGTAGATCACAGAGCAATATAAGGACACGATATATCTATCGCATTCTTTGTCGCCTTCAACTCTTCCTAACTTTGCTTTTGTGTATACGGTTATAGAATGGTCAAAAGTTCTTGATCAAAAGCTGTTTTATACATTTTGAAATTTAAAGCTCAACAGAAAGCTTTGCATGTGTCCTCACAGTGCCACAAAGCAGCAATGGCGACACTTCAACGCACCATAAAAGCTTTTTATTGTCACGATTTTTTCGTGCAGTTGAACATGAATCGCAAGCCCACAGTGTAGCAAGGTGGACGCAAATTGTTGGCTTTCAAATGCTCGTCGCTCTCGTGCCATTTTATGGCTCTAATTCCAAATCTAAAACAAATGCATGAGAAACCTAGTTCCGAGGATTTTGTCTCATCAAGCGCAGTACCATAGCGCTAATCATATGGATGCAGGAAAGATAAAGTTAAACTGGCACTTAAGCGAGTTTAAACCGCAGCTTCGTTAACCTAGGGGAGGGAGGAGCATTAATGTGTTAATCAGGGTTGAGCCAGAGGTCAGGCACAAATCCTTCAAAAACGAGCCCCTCTTCCCCCCTTTGTGAAAGCCCCTAAACGACCCTCCGCTTCACCTCCAAGTCCTTAGGGTGTTATATTCTGAAGAAAACCAGCCTTCACTGCAGGTTTCTATTTTTTGAAAGTCTGTAGACTTTCTGCGATTGCACAGCCACACGCAACTTGACGGCGACTTTTAGATCTGGATAGTCCTCTTTTCAGAGCTGTAATTTTCACAGGGGTGGAGTGTCTGGCTTCAAATTTTCAATATAGCAAGAAGAGGCTTTGCGCACAATATTCATATCAAAAAAGGGCGATTTTTGAATGCTGAAGGCAAGTTAAGAGGGTCAGGCGCAACCCCTCAAAAGCTCAGGCGGCCTGATCTTTTGAGGGGTTGCGCCTGCCCCCATTAACTTTATTTCCAAAAAAGCTTTTCTATCCAAGTTTTATGTGATTAGCTAGCTCAATCCTCGAAAATTCCACAGTAAGTGTTTGAGCTTGATTTGACTTGTTTCGGCCTTGTGCTAGTCCGAGAAGTTGAAGCACTCAAAGCGAAAAACGCGCCGGTTGAAATTTTGGCACCACTTCTTACTTCACTGTTTGAAAGCGATATGAAGTCCGATTTGTAGCATAGACTTGTAGACAACATTACTTTGTTATGAGTATTCAAAAGCTGACTTTTCTCACTTCTGGAACCTAGCTGATCACGTTTGAAAATCACGCTTTTTAGGCGTTGAGAAACACTAGAAACTGCAGTAGGTAATGGTTTGTAGAGTGCATAGAGGAAGTTTGACATGCTGATTATGGAAATGATACCCATTTCACACAGCAAGCTTCCTTGTTTACCTCATATGTCAAGGTAAAAGAGAAGAAGATTTGGATTTTGGCTGAATCTTCCATTGTGGAAACAATCAGTACGCTGTTTATGACCGTCATTCCTTCATGTGATCGCGATATCCACCGGACTAGCGCATTTCTTCTGCACCTTCACAATATCTCCCCAACTTAATAAATTCTTAATTACGACCCCCCCCCTCAGTCTTACTCTCAATACGATCCCCCAGGTCGGGCGCGCCTGACCCCACGCTCAACCCTGGTGTTAATAGAGCCATTTCAAAACCTTTTTGGGATCCTAGAAGTTTTTTGAGTTTGCCACGAAAATCTTATGTTAGATCCTAGGCGGACTTGGTATTCTGAAGGGTTGGTGTTACTCATGTACTGTACCAACATTTAGTTAACACGTTGACGACCGCGCCATTTTGGGCGAAACTCCCACTAACGTCCTTCGCGCATTTGGCCCGTGCATACGCGCGGATGCACGAAAACATTATGTGGGAGTCTTTTTGACACTTATTAATAAAACATGCAAACTTTGTTCAGACATTTAGGTATATTACAGAGCCTTACCAGGACTCACACAAATCAAGGTTTTTGCATCGATTTGCCCTCCAAAAATCCATGCAATGGCTATATCTGAGGAATCGCTCTTCGAGAAAAGCGTTGTAAAACCAGATGTTTTTTGCCTGATTCATCTTTGTTTGATTTCAGAACAGCTATACAGAGTTTTCACCTTCTCGAGAAAACGTAATTAGCATGTATTGACTACATCAAAAACGTACTAATTACCGAATTTTGCGGCAAAAAACATCTGAACAGCTGCCGCGATGCCCTGTGTTCTGTAAGATAATCAGGCCACCAATAGTATTACTGCATAGAAGTTACCTTAAAACTTTTTGTTTGCACCTAAAAAACTAGCGTGCATATGCGCGGATGCACGAAAATGCTAAACGGGAGTCAGGGCGTGCATACGTGCGGATACACAAGGTCGTCAACGTGTTAATGAAGAGTACATTTCTGGTCATATTTAGTAGTCATAATATAAGCAACAATGACTCCACTTGTACGTAAATTGCTGCAGTGCAACCTCACTAGAATGTTTCGTAGCTCTATTGAATGTATATTAAGCCTGACAACATCTCTTGAATTTAGAAATCCAAGGTGCAGTCGTACAGAGCGCTAGATTTTACGGAAGAAAACAGGAGCAAGTTCCTACCTACAAAATGTTGTCACATAAAAGTTCTGTTACAGTTAGTGCCGTGCATGAACATTACCGCCGGACAAGGGACGAAAAGCTTTTTACCTATCTATACACCACCTTCGACCGAGTTTGCCATCTCTATGGACATGTTGAACTACGTAGCTGTAAAGGTCGCATTTTTCAGCTTCCTGACTTGCCAATTTTTGTATGTTATCCCAGTAAAACGGGACATGCTACACCTTGAAGGCAGTACGCTTTTCCTCCCTATATTCATAGGATAAAAATACTTGGGGATGGATAGAGATCGTGACAGACCTCCGAAGCTTTAGGTTATTGAACCTTTAACCTTGATATCCTCGCCAATCGTATATTGTATTAGATCGTTGGACATGTAGGACTTGAAATTTTGAATCAGTTTCCGATCTGAGAACAAAATTCCTTGTCTGTCTTACATCCGAGTCCCTGAGTGTATGCTGACGTCTATGTTCTAATCAAGTTCCATTCAGCCAGAAATGGCGCTCCACACTTTTTAATGTGCGCACCCTTTTCGTTTAATCGTAAAAATTCATTCAAATGGGATAACTTCTTACAGAAACGGAGAAACCACTATCTACCGAGGATGAGCTACAGACCCTTAAGCTTACTTCAAAGTAGTAGGAGGTTACTCGCATGTATGGAGGGGAGATACGCCCACAGGAACCCTCCTCAGTCAGGGGTTGGAGATAAAAGCAACGAAGATAAGGTAAACGTTATATACGAGACATTCTAGGCAGAAAACATAGTTACACTTCCACTAGAACCGTTCCCTGCGTTTTCCTTAGAAGTTGGAGACTTTGCTAGTGACCTTATGTTATCACAAAGCTCAAAGCCAGATGCCTTTATCGTGATCTTTCAGCACAGCAGTGCTGGTCGAGAGAAGAACAACAATGAATCTTCAAAGCAACATCACGTATGTTAGCAAGAACGTATCTCCTTGAGTTGTTCATCTATCCTTTTACAGGGCAATCAAGAAAGCAAAACTGCGAAAGAGAACTTGCAAGCAGATGTTTCTAGAGACCCAACCAAGGTAAATTTTGTTCTAGTGTCTAGTTGATAGCAGAAGTGTCGAGCTGTTCAGGAAAGCGAAGGCGGTGCACATGCCCGCGAAGGTGTGAAACAAGATGTGCGATATGGCCAGTCTATGAAGAATGTTTGTTCAACGACTTGAAGCTTTTTTTTGAAAAATTCCTTTTATTTCAGAAAGATGAAGGTGGAGATCGCTAAAAATTGATGTGAGAGAAACAAAGCTCATGTCAGGAGAATTCTAGTACAGTTTAATGAGACTATTGTGACTTCTATTTAACTTCGCTTGTTCATGTACAAAATCAATCGTTAGTTATGCAAATAAACAATATAATGAAACTAATAGTTGGATATTGATAATCTGATACTTTCTCATTTTGACTCCCCCCCCCCCTCCGACACAGCAGATTGCACCAGGAAGCTAGGAAAGAAGCATGCATGTAGAGCCATTGGCGCTCCAGTTAGCGCCAGTTATCTCTGGCACAAGTCATTACTCTCTAGCTCATCTTCGTGGCTCTGCATCAGCACACACATCTTTTGAAAGATAACGGTACAAGTAATGATTCTAAATATGATTGTTTCGTGACTGTAATCATCAAAAACCCTGAGCTAATGTAAATGAGGGCGTATACCCGTATGCGATGAGGTTGTGTAATAAGTTAGTTCGCATTTCTTTCTATTAGGTCATTCCGAAAGCAATTTCGCTTTTTTCAAAGTTGTACCACATTAAACGGAACAAGGATTTCTGAGAAATCTTGACAGCACTTGTTGCAGCACTTCATCCTCTTTTTAATGGTTATAAAAACATTGCAAAACAGTCAATGAGCTCTTGAAAAATCACCAAAATCGGCGACCCACGCCTTTTGAGATACTCAAGTTCCACAATTTTTCCAAATTTTTATGTGAAACCTCCGAAGGAGCCCAAGTAACGGGCGGATAGAGCAAGCTCTAGATACAAAACAATTTTTTTCTCCTTTCCATAACCCGTATTTTTGATATTTTGACTGATGCTACCAATTTCCATACTTGGTCACCTCAAACCTCATAGAATATCAAACGATGAGCAGCTCGGGTGTCGAACGATGCGGCTTTTTCTCTATCTAATGGCTGTTTTTTGTTTCTGCTTCTTGGAGTATTCGAAGATAAAATCATCATAATTTATGTTTTCGAACGAGCCCCAGCTGTGCCCGAAAGATACAAAATTAGACATTTCAATTCTACAAATTCCCATATACTTCGTAAATTGTATCAAATCATAACACCATTATGAAAAAGAGAGAAAAAAAAGAATTTTAGAAACAATCATGACGAGTTAGGGAAGGAGAAAAATTTGCGCTGCTTCCTGTAAAGTTTGCTCTAACGAATTGTTACTTGAACTCCCTCGGAGGGTTGAGATTAAAAAAAAACCTGAAAAATCCTGAAACTAGAGCATCCCAAAAAGCACGGTAGCAGATCTTGGTAATTTTCCAAGAGCTCTTGAGTGTGTTGCAACCAGGATCAAGCTTGTGATGCGACTGTCGTAACGGGGGGTCGTAAGAGGGTATCTAAGGTGGGGGGGGGGGGGTCGTAAGAGGAGGTAGTTAGACTAAAATACCCTAGGCTTCAAAGGGAATCAAAAAGCAAGCAATCAGTTATGTTCTTTACAATAAATCTATAAAAAAGGGAAATCAGAATAAAAAAGATAAAAAATCTGTAGAAATTCTCAAACAAAAACAATTACAAGAGCTCAAAACACTTTTGAAGGACGTATTACTTGATAAAAATGCTAAAGGTACCAAATGCCCTAGAAATCTTAGTTCTGAAGCCTTCCTGAAATCTCACACACTCGACAAAAGCGAATGTCTTTACCAGCTGTGACCATCATAAAATTCTAAATCTTTTTGTAATGTTTTTTTACGGGCCCATATGATTTATCTGGGTCGGTAGTAAACCTATCGAAACTCAGAGTTATAACTCAGAGTTAACTCTGAGTTATCTCTGAGCTAACGCGCAACTTTTTGACCCCTTTAACAGGTGTTTGAACAGATCATATCCGGAAAGCGATGATATGGCAGGATTCTCCTTAACACGTAGTTTATTCCTAGTAGCGCAACATTGTCCAAATCGTCCTGCACAAGAAACAGCGCCACCAAACGCGCAACTAGTGTCTGCGATAACTCTGAGTTTGGTGCGAGTTCCAGTCTATCGTGGAACTCAGAGATAACTCTGAGTTTGGTCAGAGAAAGAGAAATAGTGCGCAAAAGAAGAGAGGCAGCTAAAAAGTCCTCCGGGGTACATTTTGCTCGTAGTTTAAGCAGGCATGATGGGGGTATCGTGGTGCGCAGTGATTTACAAAATTTTGAAATTTTGTAAAAACTTGGCCCAGGGGGTTATTCGGTGCGCTAATCACGCATATGGTACCCATTTTTTACTAAAGGGTCATGTAGAGGTGTTACGGTAGGTTTACGGTAGATGGGAGATAATCACGAAACCAATCGAAATTTGGTACACTGGGGTTATTCGGGGCGCCGATAACGAATGTGACATGTAGATTATACTGCAGTGTCATCTGACGAGGTTACGGTAGGTTTACGGTAGATAGGAGAAAATCACGAAACTGATCGAAACTTGGTACACTGGGGTTATTCGGGGCACCGATAACGATGACGTGTAGATTATACTGCAGTGTCATCTGAGGGGGCTACGGTAGGTTTACGGTAGATGAATTAAAGCGGCGGAATTAGCCGAAATTTGGTACACTGGAGTTATTCGGGATGCAGATTACGGGCAATCTATCTGCTACATACACTGGTGACATATGGAATGGTTACGGTAGGTATAGGGTAAGTAAGACGAAATCATGGAAGGGCAAACTTTGCCCGGAGGATTTATTCTGTGCGCAAATCCTAATCGTCAATTCTTATCATTGCGCATGCCATCAGCTTTCTCTATTGTTTGAAGCTTTCAGCTGCGCAAAAGACCAATCCTCGTGATGAACCATCACTGCCCGATAGAAATGGAAATGAGTGAGGCTTTGGTATAACTTGTTTTGACCTGCTAAGTGTTAATGGAATGAGTGAGTACATTATGGCAAAGCAATTTTAGGGTTCGTGGGTGGGTCATGGTCTAGCGGTTTAGTGATAGGATCTTTACGCTAGACCATACAGGTTCGAGTCCCTACTTTAACGTCGCTTTTGCAGCAAAGTGCTTAACAGCTCCTCAAAGCAAAACTCCGAGCTTGAGAGTTGGAATTCGGAATTACAAAAGCGGAACTCAGAGTTTCAATAAGCGTAACTCAGAGTTTTGAAAACGGAACTCAGAGTTATCTCTGAGTTAACGCGGAGCTTCAAACTCGGAGTTTCGACCAGATTACTACCGACCCTGTACTTTTGAGATGCTCCGCTTACCAGTGCAAAATTTGGTGTTATTTTGTCAACTGTGGATTTTCTTAAGATTTTATGTATGGTAGCAAAAAGTCAGGAGAGGGGGGTCGTATCTGGGTCGCATCTAAATTTCTTCGGAGCTATTGAAGCTTGTTAACTGCAATTCTGCTGTAATATAAGGCCATCCTCCTACTTTCCCTCGTAAAAATTGCAGGCTCTGGTAAGTTACAAAATTTCAAGCTCAAAAATCCCACTTTTTGCTTTCTAGGATCGCATCTAAATTTGCGAGAGTCGCATCTAGATTTTTTCGAGCTTACTGCTCCTCAAGAGCTGAAACTTTTTCTTTTGATAGTCTGGGCACTATACTACAGAATCTGTGCTTTGCAGCCTCTCAGACCTTTCCTGGCCTTGGTTACGAATTTTCAAACTACCGTGCTCATGCACGTTTTTGACGTCGTTCTGGACGGCACTCAAGCGGTTTTTTTCGCGGGAAAAACTGTGGAAGAGATAGGAAGTAAGCTTCTTAGTCGAAAACATCTTTTGTAGTTCAAGAATGTCATTTTTTTCTCCATGCAAAAATTTGTGTCGCCTACGGGAATCGAATTTGCTGGCCTGAAGTATGCCTAAAAATTCAAAAAAAAAACTTGCAGAATCTCAAACATTATTAAAGGTGTGTATGTGTGCTACAGATGATGGACGCACCCATTGGCCTAGAAATTCTGCTTCCGAAACCTCACTGAAGTTCTCACGCAGGTGTTTTTTGAGATTGAAATTCGTTTATGCAGGTTACCGCGAGGAATGTGGGCAGGGAAGGTAAGGGGGATAAATGAGTGAGGGTGGGGAAGGGGAAGGGTCGTACGGATGGGTACCTTCAAGGGGGGGGGTCGTAAATGAGGGTCCCGGATCGCATCAGCACGCTTGACCCTGGTTGCAACTTATGATCATTAGAAAGAGGATGAAATGCTGCCATCGATAGTAAGATCTCTCAAAAGCTTTGTTCAAATGTGGCGCTCCTTTCAAAAAGCGAAATTACATTCGGAATGATCTAATATGTTTTCTCAATATTTTTTAGAACTCGTGGCAAAACATTCGTATGCGTTAGCTCCAGGTCTGCTTTACCAAACCGCTCTCATGTTTTCAGTATAAGAAAGTGGAAAACGACTACAAAAAATCCGAGAAGGCGAATATTTCATTTTCGACGACTATGTTATGCTGCGTCACAAATAGGTTTCAACACTCAAAAACAGCTCGAAAAATTTGCAATGTGTATGTATGAAATAGTATAAATCCCGAACTGCTCATAAGTGCTGAAACGCGTCAAAAATTATATTGCAAGCCTAAAAATGGGTCTGCTTTCTGACGTCTATTCGACGTCAACGTTAGGCCCTTTGCATGCCTTATGCAAATTCGGTTGCATTTGGCAGTACTCCAGTTCTCCCACTCATCGTAAGGGGTTTCTGAATGTACGGTTGTGATTTCTTTCAATTACTTGGCATCATTTTGAAAGCAAATATTAGGGGTACAATATATGTGAACACCACATTTTGCGGCAACAGCCGAAAAAAATACATGACAAATGACACACCCGAACGCTGGCGACCCGATCTCAAAGTCTTTATAAGTCTCAACACTCGGGATTGCCTTTCGGGATACGTGCGACCCTTCTACGGAAACATGCTTCGGTCTCGTTATGAAATTTGGCAGTACTTCAAAATACATGCCACTATTTGCACCAACCCAAAGGCGAACATCAGTATATTTTAACCTAATTTCTCCTTCTACTGTCTCCTCATTTGTCGCAGTCCACCGATTGAGGAAGCGGAGTGGTAAACAAGTTCATTATAGTAGGTTGAACCGAAAGTTCTGTTGCACAATTCAAAAATCGTAACTTCTTCCTATAACTATTTTTCCATTACAAAAGCACCACTGAGAAGGGTAACTCATACACTATCTAATTACACCTTGCTTTCTCTCGCCCATGCTCTGATTGCACAGATAAAATTGTGAAAAAAATTAGTTTAATTGCCGAATTTTGAGGCAAGCCCGTTAAAAATTCCAAAACTGTGCAATAAAATACAAAAGAATCACTAACCTAAGTTTTCTAAACTCTCTCTAGCTGAGCAAATTTCGCGCTGATTGAGCTCTTCTTATAAATTTATGATTCTCGAGAATGGAAAAATCGGTTTCTTAAGAAAATTGATTTTTTACCATTTCTTCTTGAAAATCGTAACTTTGCAAGGAACAGCTCGACTGGCTCGAATTTTGCTCCTGCAGAAAGAGGAAATCAAATAATTTAGGATACTGGCTGTTTTGGATTTCATGGCTGGATTTATTTAACGGGGCGGGCTGGCCTCAAAATTGCGAACCTGAAGTGATTTCCTTGTCCCAATTTTATCTTTGCGGTCAGAGCATAGATGAGAGTAGGCAAGGTGTCATTACAAAGTACATGAGCTACTCTTTCTAATGGTTTTTTTCATTCAAGACAATCGAGAAAGAAGCTACGATTTTCTGAAAATGGTGCGACAGAACTTTCGGTTCAACCTAAGTACGTGGTAAAAAAATCCTCGCTGCTGCATTTTTTCTGTAAAAACACAGTTCGACACACAGAAAAGCGTCATTGTGATTTGTGATTTACATAAGTACCAGATCGACTTTCTGGCTCCTAGTTGTGTTTCCGCGAGGAAATTGTTGTAACATGGAAGTTTGCTCTACAAGACGTCAAATTTTTCGTTTTTACCTTTACCTGTTTCCTTTTCTTGAGTGATGCCACAGCAATGTTTGGACTATCTCTACGTAAACAAATTGCAATAGATTCCCTGGGGCTAGCTAGCGGCACTCCAATTTTAGGACCAAATTCGATTCCACAAAATGTGAAAAGATACGCAGGAAGGAACTAAGGGCTTAGCCGTAAATGTGCTCCAAAGCTAGTCAAAGAAACGTTGCGCACAAATCATCCGTTAAAGCCACCGTCCACCCCGATTCTCGACTTCCAGGTTTTTGTCGTTTCAGGGTCTTCTCATGTTCCTCATTCCGAATATGAAGTCGAGAATCCGCACCCCGACAATCTCCGTTCCAGAGAACCCACAGGCCGGCTTCCCGGAGCGCTGATTAGATGGGCGTGCACTGATGGGCGAACGTGGATGGGGAGGGCGGTGCCGTTTGGGGGTTCTCTGCATCTTCGTTATTCTGGAGCTATTTTCTCGCGTTCGAAGCAACAGGGTGTATGCCCTTCTGGACCGCTTCGTCCTAGCGCTAATTACTCTGCCCGGGCGGCGTTAATTTCCACCTTTCATATAATCTATCAGAGTTTTCAAATACTTCATTCCAAAGCAAGCGAGGCACACGAATAACGATAGTGACGATGTTGAATTATGAGACAAAATGTTGGAAAAGTTGCATGTTTCTTTACTGCCCTTTCGTGATTTCGCCCTTCCCACTTTTCAAAACACCATGAAGTCTGCGTGTGTAAACTGAAGAATTTACCTAAGCCGCCCACGAATAACATTTTTGAGTTTCATGGGAAACTCAAAATCTTGTTTAATTCTTTTTATTATGAGAATGTCTTTGCAGTCCAATTCAGATGTCTCAAACAGCATAGCCCCGCCTACCCAAGCGCCGCGGCAGCATCGACCAATCAGAGAGGCTCGCAGTAATGAGGCTGCTAATGCTAGCAGTTCAGAAGGGCCGTCTCCCGAAGCAACATTTTGCGCCGCGACTTGGGCATTGCCTTGATCGGAGGTCCTACTATCACATGCTGAAAGCTCCAGATTAACTTAGGGTGGACGGTGCCTTTACGGGCTTTCTTTTACCTCCAGGAATCGATTTACATGTCCTATTTCAAAAAGTTATTGAATTTTCTTCGAATGGTGCAATAGCTTTCGTGTCAACCCCGATATGATGTGTTGGAACGACGGTTCTAGCATGATTCGCATGAAATTCGATGAGTCTTCAATAAGCCTAATCCATGATTCCGATTCCATATTTATTTCTGGCGACTTTTTTTTTAGCTAGACTTGGAGAACAAAACCATCAAAGACTGCAGTTCCATGCTCTCAAAAATTACTGGGCCGCCCAAAAACCTGTTTAAAAAAACTGGCACAGCATGTTCCATCAGATTAGTGTGACGAATTCCAATTTCGCATTGAATGCAAGAACAAAATACCGAAAGCGGCACTTCACAAGAAACCCCTGATTAATGCATTTTTTTTTCTGACGTTTGACACGCCAAAAGCGTTGAAGTGTTTGAAGTATTTGTTCGAAGTGTTCTCTAATTTAATAAATAAATAAATAAATTTTAATGTCAGGGGTACCGTTATGATATGCTGCCTGAAGATCAGCGAATGTGTTCAGACAAGAGAATAACTAGTGATCATATGGTCGATATCTTTTTGAGACATCTTGTATATGGTGGGTATCCGTTCCGATGGTGACAAGAAGCTCTCGTATCATTACCATACTGTGATAGCGCTAGAGCAGGCGGTTTTTTTTTGTATGCTGAAATTTTGCCCGTCACGAAATTCGCAAAAGAGGTCCCAGCCAACGAATTGAACCCAGTTTTTGCATAACGCATGTCGTCTGCATGTAGGTCCAACAAGCCAAAGCATGATCCGGTTTGCGGATCCTTCAAAAAATTGCGTGCCAAGCTAATCCACATGACCTTTGGCCCGCAAAGGCGCATCCGTGCTACGACTTTTTGCAAAGTTATCGATATGATTGACAAGAAAACGTGCAAGCCTTGGATGGGCACAAAAAAAGAGTAAGAAGTCTACTTTCATGCGAGATCGGCGACAAACGAATGGTTGCTCAAAGATTATTCAAGGTTTACGAGAGAATTTTGGAAAACTTACTCGGAGATGTAGCTTACAACGGTCAGTGTCCTTATGACAACTATCGTGCCATAATAAGTACAGTAACTGTATCAAATTCGCTGTTCTTCTGAAGGAAAATTTTTCTCTCTTTGCGAAGCAGTGGCTCTGAAAAATCGGGAAAAATGAAATTTGTAGCAGTTTCGCGTGCTTAGATGTCCGTATTGTTCACTTCAAAGAGATTAGGTCCAGAACACTGCGCAACCTTGCCAGTAACGCAAAGGCAACGCAGGCGAAATTGACACGCGGAGCTTCGACATAAGAATTGATTGTGGGGCCATAACTAGCCTTTCCTGCAATTGAATCATTCATCCACGCCGAGAAATCCATAAAAATTCCCCAGTTCCTAAGTGGACGACAGTTTGCATGTGCTAGCGAGAAGCCAAAAGATGCGAGCAGACAATGAAGGTCTTTCATATTGGGGACTGGTTTGAAAACGATTCCTGGCCGCGGATAATATTGAGCGCTGCCTTTAGAAATTACCTTGGCCTCAACAGTTTCCTTGTAAAAATCCCGTGTCCAAATCTGCCTCGCTGACTGAAGTTCATGAAACAAGTACAGAACTACCATATGACTGAGCGGGCTCAGAACCTGTCCACATCCTGACGACGAAATAAATTCCTAATTAAACACCCGATGAGAACAAAAATCCTCATTATGATCACAGTGTGTTTATCCAGCGAATGGTAATTTGAACAATATGAGTTGAAGCAACATAGGCAACAAAATGTACAAGATAACAGTGAAAACAACTAATCAAGTACCCCTGCCTGTTTTCACTTTTGCAGGTGGTGGCTCAGGTTCGTCCTGCAACGGCATCACGAATGAGAAATTTTAGCCGGTATCCAACATAAACTAACCTCAAACTTAACGTTTGCTACGACGTAAGAAGGACTGTCATCTAAATCTTCCATGTCTGGTTCAAGCTCACCTTCTTCGGCATCCGAACTCTAAATCATAAGCACGATAAACAAATGAGATTATTAAAACATGCAATTCAGGAGATTTTCACATGCTCAAAAATTTAGCGTTATGGTTACTCATTGTACATGCAGAGTATTTTTTCAGCTAGGACGGGCGCATTTGCGCACTGATGTGCTTTCGGGTTTAATTTGCATCTAATTACAATATTTAGTTTTTTGACATCGTGGTTCAAATGGCGATTATGACTGAAGAAGATTCGAGCGCGGATGCCTATTACTGAGCGAAAAAAGACGAAAACAATAGAATAAAAACTTTCAAAAAGATTAAACTACATTTTTACTGAACAACTTGCAAACATTACCTCATGGCCACTGGCAGTTTGATCAAGTTCCGTTTCGAGAGAGTCACCTAGCTTTGCCCGCTTACCAGGAACCTCCCAGAGAGCATTCCTAACAAAAGCCTGCAAGATATTTTTATCTGACAGTGGTATCTAACTACCGAAGAAGAATACACTGCTACCTTTGCAACTCGTCTATTCAGACCCGGAGCACTTTTGCGCAGCTCAATAGATTTGACTCGATCCACGTACTGCTTCGTGCGTTTCTGAATTACGACACATTTGAGATGAATGGGGCATGGAAATACTACGAGCTGAAATATTATTTTGGACATTGGGACCTCATGCAAACTATGGAATTTCATACACACCGCAAGGCCTCACGCAGAGTTCACGCGATTTCATCGCCTCGCGATTCTCCAACAAGACAACAGCTGCGAGTCATGCCGACTTGCATTTCGGTTGTGATACTTTTCCGACACGACCAATCTTGACTAATGATCACAACCGATACGCAATATGATCAGCATACAACGGACTATGTTGTCTTGTTGGGAGAATCGCGAGGCGACTAAAACCGTGATTTTTGCCCAAGGCTTAACTGGGTATGATCCCATATGATAACAGATATTGATGGAAGATTTAAATGATTTACTCAGACCGAGCCTTTACTGTAATTTCACTGTGGTACTACCAAATGGAAAGCGTTCATTCTCGAAACCAACTTGCCTTAGGCATGCGTCAGGTTTATCTCCACCTGAACAGGACGCGGCTACACTAAACGGCAAATATTTGTCTTCTGTCATTTAGTAAGGACGCGCTCTCTTGTGGATGACAAGGATACATCCATCGCCTGCCATGACCTCAGGCCTCGGAATAGTTCACGCGATTCGATCGTCGTCGGTTTCCCGACTAGACAACTGTTACTGGTCCATTGCATGGGGATCCTCCTGCATATCGGTTGTGATAATTTCCTACACGACTGACCAAGACCAACAAGGGAAGGATACTGACTTAGATTCGCCTTTTGAAATGAGACATATATATTTGGAATCAGCTTGAAACGCTGATTCCAAATGTGCTGTTCCTAGCCTGCTTAGCATTATTCCGAAGCGAGTTATGGTCTCTTTTCTATGTAAAGTTTACGTGTTCCTCGACCTACTGATCTACGGTGTAGACGTCCAGATGGTTTCGCAATTGTAAAATACTCCCTTTCAAGATGAAAGAATTAATCTAAGGCTAGTTCAACATCCTAGCACATTTTTCGAGCAGATTCTTATCTACACGCCGTTTTACGACATGCAGAAGTTTGTTAGTTACACGCAAAAGCAAGCCCATAACTCGCTTCGGAATAATGCTAAGCAGCTGGGAACAGCATATTTGGAATCAGCGTTCAAAGCTGATTCAGATATGTGTGTCCCATCTCAAAAGGCGAATCTAACTTGGTATCCTTCCCTTGTAAGCATCACAACAAGTATCACAACCAAAATGCAAGATGACTGGCATGCAGAGAACTCGCCACAATGTTGTCTTGTTGGGAGAATCACGAGGCGATGAAATCGCGTGACGTCTGCCCGGCCCTTTACGCTGAATCTAACCTGACGCAGCTTTGCCCAATCATCTCCGCAGAACTCTGCCCCTAAAAACGAGAAAACGCTTTGGAAGTGCTAGCACAGCCGTCCCTCTTGTTGGTGGGCTCACCATCCCCGCTCACCAACCAAGTTCTCGCCTCCAGGGCAACAGGAACTGCCCCTCTCCAACATTAGATGACACTATGTGAAATAAGGCCGTAGAGCATATCTAGATCTGCTGTCTGTTACTTAACACGGTGCAGAGAAGCTAAGCTCAGTAACTTGCCAATGGAAGTTTTTCGAAGGTGAGTAAAACATTAAAAAGAAGAGAGTAGAGCTTTTGCCGCATAAGAAAACATGGCGACTCTTTATTAACCTTGCACTTACGAGTTCGTCTGCCAACTGAACGCTGTCTTTTGGATCTTTGCCTTGCTGAGCCGTCAAACACCATCCCAGCGAATTGAGCACGAACATTGTCATTACGTCCACTTGAACAAGTTCTAAAGCCGTTCTCTAAAATTTTAGCATAGAAAGTAAGAAACTGGGCTAAACAGGCGCTATTCCACATAAGTTGACCCAAAAAATGAAAGTCGTGAATTTCGCTAGAACTTCGTCTAGGGCGGTTATTTGGTACGCTGAACACAAATATGATGTTGATTTCGTGCGACGGCGCCATCCGGTGGAGTTACGGTAGGATTACGGCAGGGGGTCAAAATCACGGATTTGCCCGAAACTTGGCCCAGAGGGGTTATTCGGCCCGCTGATGCTGAATATCATATTGGTTTTGTACCATAGCGTCATTTTCTCGAGTTACGGTGGGTATACGGTAGGGGGTCAAAATCTCAAAATCCGCTATAACTTCGCACAGAGGGGTTATTCGACATGCTGATTAGAAATGTCACACTTTCTCCGCACGAAAACATCTCCCTGCATGGCTACGGTAGGTTTACGGTAGGAGTTAGAATCACAAATCGGTAAATGTATCCTTCCCCTGTGCTTTGCTTAGGCAAAAGCTGCAGCAGGGTGTGTAGCGCGCGACGGTGTTAGTGTGTGCAAAGCTTCACGATCGCCCGAGTCACTGTACACCAGTTTCAGGCAAAACTATGTTTTACATACTTTACCGTGTAGCTACCGTAACCCGAGAAAATGACGCTACGGCTCAAAACCAATGTGGTATTTGGCATCAGCGGGCCGAATAACCCCTATGGACCAAGTTTCGGGCAAATCCATGATTTTGACCCCTTACCGCAGTCCTACCGTAACTACACCGGATGGCGCTGTCGCACAGAATAAACATCATATTCGTGTTCAGCATACCAAATAACCCCCCTAGACGAAGTTTTAGCAAAATTCACGATTTTCATTTTATGGGTCAACTAATGTGGAATAGTACCGCTAAACAGCTTACTTTGAGATGATCATCGAATCCAACTTCGAGAATAGGCGCCAATGCTGTCTCTAGCGAGGTCAGTGCCTCATCGAACTTTTGCAAGCGTTGCAGACACTCCATTGGCAACGTTTTCTTAGGACCGGGTGCTGCTTCTTCTTTTGTGCTTGGCGAGGACGTATCTTCCGCCATTCTAAAGTAAAAGCATCTTTTGACTGCAACGAAAACAAAAACCACGGAAAAAACCGAAGTGAGAAGTCATAACTCGACAAACTTTTGCTGGTATTATGCTTTGGGACCTTTACGCCAATTAATAATCAACTTTCAATAGATATGGCATGATAACATTATCTACTACTCCGAATACCGGTATTGGGCCCATAGGCACGCGCCATACTTGATCCGCTTAATCCACTTGATCCGCTTGATCCGCTTCACCATTGGTCAGTTCACTGACTTGACCACTGACGAAGCGGATCAAGCGGATCAAGTGGATTAAGCGGACTAAGTATGGCGGGTGCCATAGCCGCTGTATTCGTAAAATTAATGAGTTCGCAATTACAGACGGCTTTTTTGAGTACGAGATTGCTTTTTACACAGATCGGCGATTGTATGCTGGCGCCTGGTGGACAAATTTTTCTTGGAGAACGCTTTATTTTTACCGTTTTCTTCATTTTGAACTTTCCTCCATTGCTGAATCATGTAGTAGTTCTTTAGGGAACTGAACATTGTAGGTCAGTTAAGAAGAAAGCTACTCTATTGGGATATGGAGCAGGATGAGGATAAAAGTACTTCATCAGCGGATTCTCAGAAAAGACGCTCAGAAGACGATTCAGCAACTGCGGAAACCAACAGTACAGGAACAGACCCTAAAAAGAGGCGAATCACCGAAGCTGTCAATGTGCCTTCAAGCTCGGCCACTACCAATAATTCACTTCCAGCGTGGGTTGCAGGTGTGCTGTGCTGTTCGTATACCCAAAATGCTCCTTATCTGTTCTTATTCTGCTGTCTTCAGGAGGTTCTCCGGCTCATTTTGTTTCCCCAGACGAGCTTTTGAACATGTCGATAGCTATGGACAATTTGGCATTAGTGCATGAAATAGCAATTGATCCCAACTTCTCAGTCTCTGAAGTTCCCGCAAATCCTATCGAAGCTGCAGTGAAGTACGTGACTAGCAGACTTTGTTCCCCAGTGATGTGCTAATCAAAAGCTCCAGAGAAAATATGTACCGCGCGTATTGGGACATCTTATCAGAGGAGCTGAAAAGAGATCCTCCTAACTACACTCACGCTTTTAATCTCTTGATGGAAATCAAGCAAGTGGGTACGCTGCATGTTTGCTCAATAAATAACTTTTCTCGAATTTGAAGTATGATGCTGAAATGTTTAGACAATATTGACCGATATTCTTTCATCGACACATGTGAGGCTGAGAGCTGAAGTTGAATCTGTGCTGGATGAGAGTAAGTTACGATACTGCTCAGTAAGAAATTTTTAGGACATTCTTTCAATTCTTCTTCTTTGTGAATCCTATTGTTTTGTTTATCGAATAGTTTTTCTCGGTACTCTATATAGCCCGATACTTTCTAGATACTCTGCGTAACAAGATGGAACAGAATTGTATGGATGTGCACGAAATAGGCAAATTTATCGTTGACCTGCTTGGGAGGCTTTGCGCTCCAGAGCGCGACACTTTGGTGGAGAAACTCAGACACGAGGAGGAAGTCGTGGAGCTGATCAAGTAATCGAGCTCATCGCTTTCATCAGTCCATCATTTTCTTTTTTTTTCCAGAGGAATCTTCAATCTTATGGATATCATGAAAAACGATCTGACAAACTATACGATCTCGCAAAATCGCAACGCAGTGGAGGCATACAGCGCTCAGTTTGAGTACAAAGAATTTTTGAAGTATCTCGACAAATTTCCTGGTGCGCTAAATATCTCATCTTCTTGCTAGAGCTGTTACAACAACTTTCAGACGGCTCAATGATGACAAAAGAATGGCTCAAGCTTGCTTATATTGATGCTTTTCCGTCCACTTCTATCGCTAAACCAAAAGGGGAAACAGAAGAAGAGGTGTCTGCGAGTGATGAAGAAGTGGTTATAACAACAAGCAAAGGTTACCTTAGGTATGTCTCGAGGATTTATCATATTTTTCGGATAACATATGTTGCTCAGGCTGGTTGAGTCCGAATCACCTTCACCCTACCCAGAGACTCTTCGAATTGATAGAATGCGGATGTGTGCGTTAGCAGAAAAATTCTTGCAAATGAATATCGTCACAAGCGCTGTCTTCGTAACGTGCAATTTTGCAGGAAAGCAAGTGAGTCATTTGCGTATATCCTCGTGTTTTCGTCTATTCAGACAATTTTTGAAGTCAACGAATTTTCAAGAATAACTTTGACAGGAAGTTTGATTGTTATGTATCGTAGCGTATATCTCAAGTAAATGTTGGTTTTTTCATCGTTAGCTTTTGAGATTTCTGAAAGCGAAGGATTCAAGAAATCCTTGAAGGATCAACTCATAGTCATTACCAATGACATAGAGGAAAAGTAAGTTTTGGTTAGAACATCACGACTTTTCTGCTCATAAAATTGAGTTCTAGGAATCTCACAACAACGGTGGAGTCTGTCTGTGAGCAGTGTGTTGTTGTGGTTAAGAAGACGGCTTCAGAACTTTCTGCTGAAATACCGGAAGAACAGATCAAGATGCTTCGAAACCAAGTTCATGCCATTGCGGATGAGCACAATGCTATCAGAGTCCTCGTCTGCAAGTTCTAACTTTATTTTTGCAATTATGCTTTTGCTGCTAAGTACGTCCTGGATAGCTCATCGTTTAAGTTAAGGTAAACGGATTGAAGCATTTGTAAATGAGATGCTCTGTTCTCCTTCCGAGGTTCCCCGACGTCTGCTACCGGGACTGTCCCTCATCCAGAGTGAACTTTGTGCCTTTACAGCGAGGTCGGTCAGCTATCAGTTTGTATATATAATCTTTGTAATCTCAACATTCAGACTGCTTCGGATTTGCATTCACAACAGGAAGACCTTTTTCGAACTCTATCGAAATATGCTGAAAACAATTAAACGCAGTCTGGAAGATAGTACCCCATCTTGATTGCATTTACTTACTTGGAGTATGCATAATAATTCATTGGAATAGTGGATGTTGATCACCGAGATATAAGAGCTTTGCGAAATTGCCGCATATCCAATAGCTACTTTGAGAAGGTCTCGCTCGCCAAGAGCTCAATAAACTACTTACGCAATTTTTGTTCTTGGAATTCTTGTGGTCGTGCGACATGCGACAAAGTATCTATCTGATCAGTTGTACAGTTTCTAAGTGGATATCAATTTGTCGCATTTTTTTATCTTCTTTGCACAGGGATGTCATATCCTCGCCACCCCAATGCGGTTGTAATCGAACCTCCGACAAAAACGATCTCTCCATTGATCCGATTCAGCAGGTAATCATATCTAAATTGAATTTTCTGTAGATGGACTATAACAAGTTTCCTTTTCTTATCAAACTTCATAGATATGCTGCCCTTGGACTTGGAATTATGTGGGGTGCGTATCGGCTGCGACAGATTCGAGAATATCATGCTGATATCCGAGAGTGGGAACACGAAAAGGCTGTTGCTAAGGCTATTGATGACGCGAGGAAGAAGAAGTGGCTGGCTAGAGACGAAATGCGCTATCTCATGAAGGTAACTTATCAGGTATACAGTTGGCATCCCATAGATTATTCTCGTTCAGGTTATCGATCTTCCATTCGAAGAAGGAGTTGCCCAGTTCGGAGTTGCTGATCTTTATAGGGAGGAGTAGGTTGCAGAAATTGTTCTAGAAGAATTGTTCAAGCTGTCCTTATTAGATAAATGGTAATCGCTTCATTATTTCATATTTTTGTGCACCCTAAAGAAGACAAAAATCATACAATAAAACTGTCAGTTCACCTTATAACTATGCAGTGCCGGTATAAGGCCATCAAAAGAGTAGCTAAAAGAAATGAAGAAGTAGCCTTTTTTGAAAATGTTCCAATGCATTATACCCGGGCTGCGGTTGCAGTCATCTGTTTTACGTTTTACACTCACTATACAGGGTGTCCCAAAAGTAAGTACACACTTTTCAATAGTCAGTATCTCTCTTCCCAATGGGTCTTTCTTTGCCAGTCAAGTACCGTGCTGTAGGGAAGGCTTCAACTTAGATTTGCAGTATCGAACGGATCACCGATCGCTCTTCGTTACTGTAAGATCACGGTAAGAACTTCCAGCGTGTGGAACCATTGTGAAATATGACATCTGGCGAAATTTTTTTTCAAAAAATCTGAAAAATCGTGTACTAGAGTTTTCGCGCACGCTGATTCCACTACACAACTATTTATGAGTGTTTTCAACTTTTTTTACGGTGTAATCACATCGTTGACACATACTGCGTATTCGTTTACTAAGGTTTACATGGGATAACTTTGGAAGAAAGCATCACAGTAAAGTGGAAATTTCACATTCGAAATCAGCGGCTTCCATTACCATAGTGTAAGAGTTCTTAGCCCGTTTGGTCTTGTTCCGAGGCAGAATATGGTTTCCAATGGCCTAAGATCCTTGTCAAGTTCCTTCAGTAATCCTATAGTAAAGAAGAGCGGTCGATGATCCGTTCGATACTGTAAACCTAAGTTGAAGCCTTCTCTATAGAATGGTACTTGAATGGTGGAAAAAGACACAAATGGAAGAGAGATATTAACGACTGAAAAGTGTGTACTTATTTTTGGGACACCCTGTACATCAGAATTTAGCGTTCCGAGGGGGGGGGCTCAGGGTTGAGCGTGGGGTCAGGTGTGCCCGACCTGTGGCCGTATTCATCAAAGAAACCCGTGGGTTCCGGAACCCACTGGGTTAGTGCTTTTGATAAATATCGATTCTACTCCAGGGAAGAATCGATATTCATCAAAAGCACTAACTCAGTGGGTTCCGGAACCCACGGGTTTCGTTGATGAATACGGCCACTGGAGGACATATGGGGAAAGGGGGTGGGGTATCGTGATTAAAAATTGCACCCGTCATAAAGTTGATTACCACGATTGAGTAATATGAAGAAGAAAAACGCTAGACTGGTGAATATCACAACTCCAGCAGAACTAAGGAATGAGTATTGTGAACGTTAGACTGCAAATGCAGCATATGCTGTCGTGGATTCGTCGTCCGAAGGAGACGGACCGCAAGAAGCAACTGCATTGTTGCATCTGCTGTTGCGCTTGCAAGAGCAGGTGCAACTGCAACTGCAACTGCAGCTTACGCTGTCGTGGATTCGTCTGAAGGAGGCGGAGTGAAAGAAAAATCGGGCCGGTTTTCTCCGCTCAGAAGCAACATTGGGAGACCGGACCAACGCAGTTGGTCTTCTTCTGGGCCCTGTATATATACGATATGAACTGGGTAACTTAACTTTTGGGTGTACGCTGCCTTTAAACATACCATAAGATCACTACAGAAGCTTGCTGTGTGATTGGGTGTAATTTCCATAATCAGCATGTTAAATTACCTCTACAAGCTCTACGAACCATTACCTTTTACATTTTAAAGTGTTTGACGTTCAACGTAGAAACATAACTAATCAGTTTTCAAAAGTGAGAGAAGTAATCTTCGTACTCATATCAAGTTAATACTCTCCCTTAGTCTATAACACGAATTAGACTCATGCTGCTTTCAATTAGTGGATTAAGAAGTGCTGCCAAAATATGAATCACTGCGTTTTTCACCGTGAGTGCTTCAACTCCACGGATCACCACAAAGCCGAAACAAGTCGAGGTACAGCTACTGTAAAAATTTCGTGTGCTAGCGAATCACATGAAGTTGGTGAAAAAGCTTTTTCGGAGTTAAAGTTGATGAGGTCAGACACAACCCCTCAAAATGTCAGGCTGCTGCCTGAGCTTTTGTAGTCTTCCGCCTGGCCCCCTTAACTTGTACTTAAATGATATACATATCGAGCTCATAGACTCTTTACTATAGTGAAAATCTGGATGCAAATACTCCCTCCCATGGTTAATCATGGATTGCGGCTCTTCAATAGGCATTAAAATCAATATTCGCCGTCAAATTGCGTTTGCTTGCAAAAGTGCCGTCACAAATCGAGGGTGCAGTTCGAAAATTCGAAAACTGCAGCACATGACGATGTCTTCATCAATGTCTCACTCGGGGCACGACCAGAAAGTACGATTGGCGCGGATTTTTTGCGTAGCGATGTCGTGAGCGCAACGTGAGCAGTACATGATCCAGCACTCCTTTTGCTGTGGTACTTATGATATCGAGTCATATATTAGTCATAGCCCACCCTCTTAGAGGCAGTGTCCATGCAAAAAGTCAATTTTGAGATTTTGTGGTTACCTGGGCCTATTCGCTATGCTGAATCCGAAAGTCAACACTGGAGAGCGCGAAAACGGCGAAAAAGGCTCTAAAGGAGGAAGGAAATTGCAGGTGGGCGGGGCTGTTCACACAGTGGCGTCACTCTCCCAGCTTCAGGAGCGATCTTCTCGCTTCCGCTAGTCGCCCTAACATTATCACCAGCCAACTGCGAAACGCATGACATTAAATCGGAACCGAGAAGATCGCTCCTAAAGCCTGGGAGAGTGACGTCACGATTTGAACAGCCCCGCCCTCCTGCGATTTCCCTCCTGCGTTAGGGCCCTTTTTCGCTGTTTTCGCGCTCTCTAGTGTTGATTTTCGGATTCACCATAGCGAGTAGGCCCAGGTAACCACAAAATCTCAAAATTGACTTTTTGCATGGACACTGCCTTTAATTCCCCGCCTTGCCACTTTGGGCGGGAGAGTTTTTATGGGGCAGGAGATGTGAGCGGGTCGCTTCACTCTGAGATTCGGGTTGAAGAGGAGAATAAAGGGGTCGTTTGGGGGCTTTCAGGGGAGGGGAGGAGGTGGTCGTTCTCGGAAGACTTGTGCCTGACCTCTTGCTCACTCTGGTGGGCCTATTCAGATCAGGAGCAATGCCTAACCAGTTCCGCACTATTTCGTATTGAAACCTGAGCGTCATCTCAGTTGCGTGACTTTCTATGGTACAAGCTGCACTCTCGGGATCCATGGTTTTTACTTCAACTAGGAGGTGGCACGAGTCACAGTAGTCTTTCATGATGCTTTGTTTTTGTTACGACAAAAGTGAAATTTTTTTATCAAGAAATGAAATTTTTACAACAACCTTCAAAATACATGACGACTAGTGTGTATAAATGCTACAAAATGTACATTCGAGTTGTTGAGCGCACGGACTGACCGTGGTTGGCGGAGCACGAGTCGCGCCGTCACGCTTGTACAGTACAAACCGCTATTGTACAAGCCTTGCTCTCGTGACATTTTAGCCGCGGCGCGTGCTCCGCAATCTACGGTCGGCCCTGCGATCGACGACTCAACGATGTGGTAGCACAGATATTACAGCAATGACTCTACGAGTTTCTGTTTCGGTCTCGTAAAACGCGCCTCATAGGTTTTCCCGATGGTGTCTTCGGGATTTTTTCTACAAATTCGACACCGCCTACCAAATGCTTGTGTGATGACACTCTCTCTGGAATGTGCTTGTCGTCCGCTGGGCATTGAGGAGAGCAGCTTGATGAAACTTACCGGCTACGTAAACCTTAACCTCTTCTTCGGAAAGGCTGGGTGATTGTCGAACCACGTAAGCTTTTGGCACCTCACCCTTTCTATCATGTGGAATACCAACCACGACTGCTTCACTTATCGCTGGATGTTCAGAGAGTATTTGCTCCAGTTCAGCAGGTGGCACCTTGAACACTGTCGGAGATGATACGAACTATTTGCTCTAAGAAATGAAGAATTATGAACTTGGAATCCCTTGACTTTGATAAGCTCTTTCAGGCGATCTACAATATAAAGGTACCCCTTTTCATCAACGTAGCCGACGTCACCTAAAAAGATCAATCAAAATTTATGTGGAAAATCAAATACATTTGTGATTGAGATGATTATTTGGAGCTCATATTTTGAAAGATGAAATCACGATCTTTCAGTTTTAGTATGAGTTGAAAGCAGGGTCAATCGTGTTGATGCGATCCGGGACCCTCATTTACAACCCCCCTCCTTGAAGGTACCCATCCGTACGACTCCCCCCTCCTTCCGCCCGCCCCCCCTCCCCCCCCCCCCCCACACTCCCCCATCTATCCCCCTTACCTCCCCTGCCCACATTCCTCGAGGTAACCTGCATAAATTAATTCTCAAAAAACAGAACCTGCGTGAGAACTTCGGTGAGGTTTCGGAAGCAGAATGTCTAGACCAATGGGTGCGCCCAGCATCTGTAGCACACATACACACCTTCAATAATGTTTGAGATTCTGCAAGTTTTTTTGAATTTTCAGGCATACTTCAGACCAGCAAATTCGATTCCGTATGCGACACAAATTTTTGCACGGAGAAAAAAAATGACATTCTTGAACTAAAAAAGATGTTTTCGACTAAGAAGCTTACTTCCTACCTCATCCACAGTTTTTCCCGCGGAAAAAACCGCTTTAGCGCCGTCCAGAACGACGTCAAAAACGTGCATGAGCACGGTAGTTTGAAAATTCGTAACTAAGGCCAGGAAAAGACTGAGAGGTTGGAAAGCACAGATTGTATAGCATGGTGCCCGGACTATCCATTGAAAAAGTTTAAGCCCTTGAGGAACAGTAAGCTCGAAAAAATTTAGATGCAACTCTCGCAAATTTAGATGCGATCCTAAAAAGCAAAAACTGGGATTTTTGAGCATAAAATTCTGTAACTTCCCAGAGAAGTTATTAAACAACCTGCAATTTTTATGAGGGAAATTAGGGGGATGGCCTCATATTACAGCAAAATTGCAGCCAACAAGCTTCGATAGTTCCGGAGAAATTTAGATGAGGCGCAGATACGACCCCCTTTTCTCATTTTTTGCTACCATACATAAAATCATAAGAAAATCCACAGTCAACAAAATGGCACCAAATTTTGCACTGATATAGCAGAGCAGCTCCAAAATACAGATAAATCATATGGCTCCGTGAAAAACATTACAAAAAGATTTAGAAATTCATGATGGTCACAGCTGGTAAAGATATTCGCTTTTGTTGAGTGTGTGAGACTTCAGGAAGGCTTCAGAAGCAAGATTTCTGGGGCAATCGGTACATTTAGCATTTTATCAACTCATACATCCTTCAAAAGTGTTTTGAGCTCTTGTAAATGTTTTTCTTTGAGAATTTTTACAGATTTTTCATCTTTTTTATTCTTTTTTTTTATTTTTATTCCACTTTTTTTGTAGATTTATTGTAAAGAACATAACTAATTATCTGCTTTTTGACTCCCTTTTAAGCTTAGGGTATTTTAGCCTAAATACCTCCTCTTACGACCCCCTCCCCCCACCTTAGGTACCCTCTTTACGAACCTCGTTGCGGCAGTCGCATCACAAGCTTGACCCTGGTTGAAAGATTTGTCGTGAAGGTATGTGTGAGCTCTGGAAACTACATGCGCATCAAGATTCCAACCATCTTTCTGCAATTTTGATGTTAATTCGAAAAGGAGGATTCAGAATGAGCAATGTTCGATTTTGTCACTTGTTAGTTTACTTAGATGAGTTATAAAAATGTGCAAATGACTTCTTTATACTTTTAAAGGCAGTGTCCGAACAAAAAGTCGATTTTGAGATTTTTTGCTTACTTGGGCCTACTCGCTATGAATCCGAAAATTCACACTGGAGAGCGCGAAAACGGCGAGAAAGGGCTCAATACAGGGAAATCAACAGGTGGGGAGAGGGGGTCTTCCCCACTGTGAATTCACGTTCCCAACTTCCTGAGCGATCTTCCCGGTTTCGGTTTCAAGTCGGTCGTTTCACTTGGCCGGTGGCGATGTCAGGGCGGCTAGCGGAATCGAGAAGATCGCTTCGGAAGCTGGGAGCGCGAATTCATAGTGGGAAGACCCCCCCCACCTGCTGCTTCCGTCCTGCGTTAGAGTCTTTTTTTTTTGCCGTTTTCACGCTCTCCGGAGTGGATTTTTCGGATTCAGTATAACTAGTATGCTGTGTAAGCACAAAGTCCCAGGATCGAGTTTTTGCCCGGACACTGCCTTCAAACAATCAAAATGAATTTTACAATTTTTAAGAAATTCAATTTAGCTTTATGAAAATTTTTCGGGAACGTAGCAATTGCAGCGCCCACTTTTTCTATAATTTCGGGGTCATGGGCCCACGGAATATCTGGGAAGCGTCCAAGAGATATTTCGAAGTACCAACGCCGCGTACCTACCCCCTCCCGAAAAATTCTTTTGTCGCTTACCCTCCACCCTCTCCCCGTCGAACATACTGAGACCGCCGCTCTACCGCGCCCCCCTCCCTCTCCCCCGAGAATGGGTAGCGAAATTTTTAGAAGTTACTAACATGAGTTATAAAAATGTTTAAGTGACTTATTCATACTTGTGAATAATGACCAAAATATTTGAAATCTTTCCAATTTAATTTAGCCTTCAAACAAAATTTTTTCGGGTTGTGGGCTGGCGAAAATCTTTTGGGAAGCTTACCAAAAACATTCTTGGAGTGCGTGGCTAAAGCCGCGCTCCTTCATCCGCAAAATTTGTTCCCCCCCCCTCCCCTCTCCCGCACCGAAATTCTGGGTACGACACTGAGACATATAGACATGGAGCGCCTTAGATATAAGATTGACTATTCATGTAGATACGAAACTATGCTTTCCGCTTTGTCTAGCCCACGAGTGCGACTTATGTATAGGCTGGTAGTTTTGAAACGCTTATAATGTCCCTACGGTGCCGTCATATGCCCACAACATTTGCGCACTAACGAATAGCTACGTTCTGCAATGTCTTTTGCACGCAAATTGTCTGCGTTATAGACGTAGTTTTCTGCTCACGCGCAAATGTCTGCAAATGTCGCCACCGCAGGGACAACAAGCGTTAGATCTACTAGCTTACGTATACGAGACGTAGTGAAGCGAATTTACCCGTATGCATCCACCCATCTCTGATACACTGCTGTGTCATCTCTGGTTTGCGATGGTATCCAAGCATAACAGTGGGACCACGAACGCAAATTTCCCCCATTTCACCATGCGCCTTTATATCACCGGTGTCCGGATCCACGATCTGAGACAGATTGCTGACAGAGTATTTTTACGTCATAATTTGTCCACAAACCTTTGCTTCCAAATTCGGCAGGACTTTGCCGACGCTTCCAGGAGGTTGGCCGTTGAGTACGTCTGGTAGATGTGACACCATGCATGTTTCGGACAAACCGTATCCTGAGAAATGCATTCTCCTATCGACAGTGATTAATTTTTATAGAGGCTAGTAAATCTGACGTTGAATACAATTTCAATGCGTTGTTCACAACTGCCGGCAACATTTGCGCGTCAGAAAAGTGCCATGCCAGTTATGCTGACAGTTTGCGCGTGCAAATGCCCATATACGTTTCCTGGCAATTTCTACACTCGCAGATGTTGCGAATGTCAGCGCAGTGACACTATAATTACCTTCAGATATACCATCCTAATACTTGCAATGCTCTAAAACTTAGTTCTCTTCGTAATAATGTTTTTTCTTCCTTTCTCGGGACTACTGTTGCTTAGACAGCAAATGATTTTTATAACTTCATTTCAAGCTTTAATGTCAACTAACTGCAGATTAGCAAAAAGTTCTGACCTTGCTGTACGCACTTGATGTGTTCATATTTTTGAAGAAGTTCCTCGCAGATATGCTTAGGTGCCGGCGCCGATCCGCTGAAAACTCCTTCAAGAGAGGAGAGGTCGTAGTTTGCACAAATCGGGCTCCTAGCAAGAAAACTCAGTATAGGTGGAGCTATAGCTATCCATCGCACCTGCAATGTTTTTCTATTTTTGAACCCTTCTATTGCTGCTACTATTTACTCGATGATTTTGAATGGCTGAGCAAAATGTGTCCGGCTTGAAATGCGACAACAGCACCGCGGTGCAGCCGTTCAAGATTGAAATCATCATCATACCTCAAATGACGTCTACTTTGATTCACGATAAATAATTCTCAATAATCTTACAGAATCCATAACAATGGTAGAACGGAATTATCAGTATTTGCTTCTCATTTTCTTTATCATACGGAGGGTCCAAGGCGCCCGTCAAGAAAAAGTTGTCATACCTGGAAAAAGGAAAGGAAATTAGCATCAGTATGAATGAGTGCCTCAAAACTGACGTATATGCTTTTTGACCCAGACTCCATCTTCAGTTGAGTGCGCCCTACAGATAAGTCCTTTTTTATTTATAACTATCCTAAATTCTAGTTTGATAAGCCCAAGAGGCCTTATTTTTATCGGACATGTCTTTAGACGTCTCTGTTGAAGGTGAGATCCTAAAGTCGGACTTTAGTGTAATATCGTGCGACGAAAAATAATCAATAAAAATTCCCGAAATTTGAGCTACCGTTTAGTTCTGTATAGTCCTTTCTTAACAAGAATATATGCAGTAGTCACTGACATATATCAGCGAATTTTCGAACATAGTTGCTTAAGAGGAAATGGTCAGAACTTAAGCCAGCCATTCCTGATAAGCTGTATATCATCGGACTAGGCTATTTTTAAAAATACGTTTGCCTTCAGAAAAGCGACTATCTGCAAGGAGTTAAAAGCGTTCAAATATGAAAAATTTTTCGAGTTTCGACGAATACATCTCCTTGAAAGGTAGCCTGATGGCGCAAATTTACAGTGGCTATAGGTATTCTAATTACAAGGAAGAAGTACATTGACCAAAAACCTGAGCAAGCGTTTTTGAAGCTATTCCGTGGAACATGCGCAACAGAACACTCGACAAGTGGTGCAAACGCTCACAACCTCTTTCAGATAGTCGCTAGGCAGATATTAAACGTAAATTTGTGATCATCGTTCCAAGACGCCTATGTTACACAGTATGTGTGGTATGGCTGGTTAAGTTCTGACCATTTCATGCTTGGCATTTTCGAAAATGGATTATTTCCTACCAAGTTTGCAAATACCTGCCCGTTCCTCTATCTTCAATAACTTGCAGCTGAATGTGACTTGCAATATTGCGCCCCTCTTTACTCCCAGAGTTGTTATCACGTAATCAAAAAATCGCTTACCCTCTAAAAATATTAGTCATAGCGATGTAATTCTTGTGTGTTAGTAGAACGCCTTTTGGATCACCAGCCGTACCACTGAAATTATCATGGAGCAAGGAAAGCAAGTAAAGTCAAATACGTTTGTGGATTTTTTCCATATCGTGTATTAATTATGCAGAAAGTCACGAGTTCAGAGATACTTTCTTTTTATGAAAATATGTTCCCTTATAATTGATGTTCGTTAGTTAGATAATATAAACCAAGTCAGTTTCCTAGATTATAGTACCTGGAGTATGGCATGTAGACCGCATCGCGTTCGAAATCTACTGTGGGAAGTTTGAGATTATAATCAGGCGCTGTCTCCAGTACATGGTTCCAACTCTGTATTCCCGGTGGTAATGAAGTGGATGATTGATCATCGATGCAAATTATAGTCTGAATCGAAATCGTTGTGGTTCCTTTTCAACTTGGAAATTACGAAAAAAATGCTTTGTGAGAAGCTTCAACAAATTCATAAATGTTATCTAACGTTTGCGGGGGACGGTTTTCATACCTGGGAAAGACAAATGTGGACTTCTTGCGGAATGACCTTACCTTGATGCTGCCACACTGCTGCACAGCTTTCAGTACATTTGTCAAAGCTTGCCGGTTGGTGATAACCAGCTTTGCTTGAGAGTCCGTGAAATGACGTTGTAGTTCATCTGAAACCAGATTTCTTAACAATATTCTTTTGTTTTCATCTCGCTTGTTTCGGACGTGTATGTTTTACCCAAAAAAAACACCTTAGTTATAGAGATTTCTGTAAGGTATGTTAGAGAAAAAAATTTGACGCATATACCAGATGAGGCAATCACGAGGCAAATTTGATAGATAGTCTGCAGAGGATGCTAATATGCCGAGCCATTAGATATATTTAGCTTTCAAGTATTAGAAGATATGGCAGCGAAAAGAACTTGCAAGCTCTCACCCTTGAGGTTTGAGATATCGTATGAACGGAGTGTTCCCTTTCCTTTGGCATTGTTGGTAAATTTTGCTGGTTATCTATCCATACTTACTTCCGCATGGTAGCGACGCTTATGATTATTTCAGGCTCAGTTAGAAATTAAGGAAGCCATGGTTTGCTATCTGTTTTTGAGAGGTACCGCATAAAAGATGTATCCTCTGTATCATTGAGAGTGGCGGCTGGTGAGTGGGGCTTTAGGCTCTGTACCTCTCTCGCGAGCGTGCTCTAATCATTTCTCAGGCTTAATTAGTCATTGGAGCTCCGCCCTCTATTCGCACATTCAGTGAAACAGAGAGTACCGCTTAAAGTATGGGTCGGAAAGTAATGACACCTATGACACCTTGATTTGTTCTACATTTTGAGATTTTTTCGATCAACAATAAGCAGGCTGCAACATAAACTTCACATACATAAGCTACCTTCGTCTATCATTCTGGTAGCGCGCTACCGCCCTCTCACAATTGTTGGCGTGGCGCCACGAAGAAGAAGTCGGACGGGGTTTTTTGGGCATCTCGCAGTAATGCGTTGTTATACCGTGGAGTCATGATGCAAGCGGCATACATTCGAAAGAACTCTTCAAGCTCTTGAATGGTATATCGAGCATTTGGAAGTTCTTTTTGTAACAGGTAAGAAGGCAAAAAATTTGAAAATTTGCGGCTTTTTGGCGCACTAAGAGGTCAAAAAATCATGTTTTGGCCTATATGCTCCGAAGTCGCTTGAAAATTGAGGCAAACTGCATTCGAATGGTGATCGGAAAAATTGCGTTCACTTGCAAAGAATGAAATTATAAGTGTCTCCTTCTCACAACGCCTAATGATCATATGTCCTGACTCCAAGAGCTGACATCAACGAACCGTCGTAGGTTGAACGATGTTCCCTCATTGATTGCAGCAGTGGTATTTTGGATGATCTCATGTGCTTGACTGCGCATATACTGCTCAAAGCTCCAGCCTTTCAGCTAGTTTAAAAATATACATGTAAATGACCTTATATGGATGTGGTTGAATGAAAACTATGTCCTAACATCTCGAAATTAGGGCATCTAATAATCTCTTTCTTAAGAAATCTGCAGCATTCTCTAAGTGTCATTACATTCCGACCACCCCAATAATAATTCTAACCTAGCTCATTTAATAGATCATGGTTTATTAGGAGTGTGTTGTGACATACAGCTTACATTCAGTGGAAAGCGGGCTAGTTGAAGTCATAAGTCCACCATTTAATGTTACTCCCAAAAACATCGACGGAAATTCGGGCCGATTTGCCAGAACTGCTGATGCAACATCCTTCTGCAAATTATTAAGATTAAGGAATATTTTGCAATAGTGTATATTAATTTCTTGAGTTCTTCGTCGATTCTACTTATGATCACGCTGACTGTTCCATTTTTTAGTCGGAAAGGACCGGCATAGATGATAAGAACGGAAATGCTAAAAATATAGGTTGTCGAGAAAATAAAGCCGTTTCTATTTTTTGCCATTTCAGCGCAATCAAACGAAATCTAGAATTGCATGAGGACGCTGTCTTACGGAGCAAAGCAACTCAGCAAGAGGGTTTCTTTGCTCTTGCTGGAGGTTGGTCCATGTGGAGCTTGTAATCAAAATCTTAGAAGTTTCAGGTTATCTCCCACTTGCAAATATCTGTACCCGACATCAGAGACTCATATATACAATTGCTCTATTTTTTGGCTAGAAACTGAGAAAACAAAAACTTCATTGTGTTACAATGCTAGGCCGTTCTTAGAAATTTGATTCTATATTAGGAGCCTTCGCAGATATAACTGGATTTAGCTTTTTATAAAAGCTAGTTTTGAGAAATATTGAGTTGATACAAAAACTCAGAAGAGGGGAGCTAGATGATGTTTCCCGAGAACTAGCTCTTCTAGAAAGCTAAAAATTCACAGTTATTTTTGCAAATGCCTGTGGTGTAGAATTACCTCTGTACGACGGCGAAGCATTACTTGAGAAACACATAAAAAATTTCGCTTTCTCTGTTTCTAGTTAAGGAAAAAAATAGCAATTGTACAGCAGGCCCGCTAAATCTTCGACAAAATTTTTTGCAATTCCTGAATAAATGTTCTTAGGGTGTTGGTAGTAGAAAGATTAGCCAGTTGTCACCCTCAGGAAAAGTTACAACCTGCTAAAATGAGCGTATTTAGTCTCTTGTTTTCTGTGTCCAGCGTCCCGCCAGTCTATTGGTTATCACTAGTTCTGTAAAATCCTGTTAATAATTTTTTCGAGTGAAACTTTGCAAAACCTGCATTAATAACGAGAGGACTCCAAGGATTCAAGGTAAACGAAAGAGCAAAGCAACCTTTTAGTTGTAGGTGTTCTCGTGCAAGCAGCTTACAAGACTCTAATGAATTCATCAAGAGTGCAACGACCTTCGGCCATCAAACTGATGAGCAATGAGGTGTAAAGTGACTACAGAAAGAAATTGTTTACAAAGCAGTGAGGATCCTGCGGGCATAGGTTTGCGGTCTCAATAGATAACGACGTACAGTTTTTTTTCTGATGAGCAGCTGTTATGAAATTTAAAATTATGAATACGCCTTTTAAATGGCTAAGTGAAACTTTAGAAAAAAAATAGATGACTTTTCTAGTAATGAAACTTTGGATACATAGCAAACCTCATGGAAACCGCTTTTGCTGAGGAATGTAGCAAACGCAAAGGCCGAATCAGAGATTGTCTTGAATTTCACCTCCTTGTTAATCTCTGGACAGATCTAAATTGTGGAAAGATGAGAGCTAGGTCAAATAATTCTTATGAGAGCTAGGTCAAATAATTCTTTCACTTCTGCCGTTAATGCATAGCTGACAAGAGATTGAAGTAGTCGGAAAATATTATTAGGTTGCCTCATCAGTTTTTTCAATTTTGTCTTTTTACCGCAATAAGTCACGAACTTCTCAAATCTGAATGCAGGGTACCATTCGATAGAGCAAAGCAAGCTCTTTAAGATGGCATGTAAGCGTTGGCACCAGCTTTAGCATACCACGAGCTAGAACCGAGATCTGAAAATTTTCGGATGCCCGAAAGTTTGGAAATGTTTCATATCGCTGTCGAAAGTCAACTTACCAAATCTCAAACTCGCTCACACTTTTACAGTTCTCATAAGACACTCATATATGCCGTTGCTGCGTTTGCTTTTGTGCGAAAAAACGAGAAAAACACAATTTTCAAATTTTCAAAAAAGCGATGCTGCTCTGTTCTGGAAGTAAATGTAAACCACAAGGCTTTAGAAGTGCGATCACAGATTTGCATCTTTCTAAGCTGTATTTTCCGAGAAATATCGATCTCAACATGAAATACCCTAGCAACAAAGCTGAATTCGGTATTTCTTCAACAACTAGCGCTTCTAAGAGAAAGTTTATCCATGTACTTGTGAAAGCTTATAGTACACATTCTTTTCAAAAGTCGAAAATTTTAGTTTTCTCCGTTTCTAGCACAGAAAACACAGCAGTGGCACATATGACTGTCTTATGGGGAGTGTATATGCGTGCAATTTTGGGATCTGGTAAGTTTCCTTTGGACAGAGATGTGAAAGATTCTCAAATCTTTAGGCATCCGAAAGTTTCAGATTTCGGCTTCTAGTTCGTCCTAAAGCTGGTTACGCTTACACGCCTCCTAGAAGAGCTTGCTTTGCTCTATCGAATACCAGCATTCTGATCAGAGTTGAGAAGTGTGTATATTGCGACAAAAAGGCAAAATTGAAAAACTTATGAGACTAATAATTTATAACGGCAAATAAGACTTACAAAAGCCGTTCTATTTTCGAGTGAGTGCTCATTAACTGCTGCAAGCACACTTGCTGGGAAAGACAACCTTGGGAGAGGCACAGGTGGATAGTCAGACTTGATCACACCCTGCAATAGGAGACCTAAGAAGAACCGTGTGTTACAATTTGAGTCAAAATAAGAAAAAAAGTACAGAGCTTGTGCTATAATAGGAATGATGGAGTTTTGATAGCCCAGCAGCCAAACTCGATCGCAAACGTTGCCAGCCCATGATAAATAGAAGTTCACAGAAGTGAGTATGAAGTTGCAGACAGGTAGGTAGGAGGGTCATTGTTAGAATCAAATCATTTATAAACAGCTATTCTGCAAAAAAAAACAAGTGTAAGGAGAAGAGGGTACAGAATGTGATTCCTCCTCCCAAATTCACCTCATCACTCAATCTACTCGATCTCTTCCATTACCGCGTCAACACAGAAAAAGTTGGTACTCGCGTACTTTGGTACTTTGCTCACTTCCAGTCCCATCGTTGAAAATCGCAATGCACTCTTTGCCACCTGTCAGAAAACGATGTCAAGCGGAAAATATTATTAGGCTGGCTAACAAATAAGTTCGTTTTAATATGCAACTCGAAGCTTTATCCTCGAATAGACATGAAGTTGTCAGGTAATGGGCCGGTCACAGCTTGCAAGTGTTGCCGTCGTTGAAAGTGCTGCGGGTTTTGAAAGTGCAAATTAAAAGTGTTGGGAAATCCTCTATAACTTTCCTCTCTTTGAATATGGTGTGCTTAAAGGCAGTGTCCGGGCAAAAACTCGATTTTGAGATTTTGTGCTTACTTGGGCCTATTCGCTACGCTGAATCCGAGAATACACATTGTAGAGCGCGAAAATGGCGAAAAACGGCTCTAACACAGGAGGGAAATGAGCAGGTGGGCGGGGCTTTCCCCAGTGCGATTTCACGTTCCCGGCTTCCGGAGCGACCTTCTTGCTTCCGGTTTCAAGTCAATCATTGGCACTTGACCGGTAGCGATGTTAGGACGACTAGCGGAATCAAGAAAATCGCTCCGGGAGCCGGGAGCGTAAAATCGCACTGGGGAAAACCCCGCCCACCTGCTGATTTCCCTCCTGTGTTAGGGCCCTTCTTCGCCGTTTTCGCGCTTTCCAATGTGGATTTTCGGATTCAGCATGGCGAATAGGCCCGTATAAGCACAAAATCTCAAAATCGAGTTTTTGCCCGGACACTGCCTTTAAATGCAGCGGCTCGGCAGAATTTCGTTTTCCAGTTTTTCACCTTTTCGGGGCCTTCTCGTCATGAGGAACCCATATTTTCGATCTTCAACGCACGAAAATTGCAAAAATGCGCTTTTTCCGGAGCTTCTCAGGTCAGTTTTTAGTGCAGAAGTGGGCGTGGCTTGGAACGAAAAAGGCGGGGCGCGGCTTTCTGCGGCGTATTTTCACTGAATGCGGACCTAAAAAACTTCGAAAAAGCGCATTTTTGCCAATTTCATGCGCTGAAAAGCCCAGATATGGGTTCCTCATGGCAAGAAGGCTCCGAAAAGGTGAAGAATCGGAAAAGGATTTGCCGGGCCGCTGCCTTTGAACTTTGGCATTATGTAGAATTCTTCTCTTTGAATATGGCGCGCTCAAACTTTGGCATTATGTAGAATGCAATGTGAACAACAAGCGAGCACAAGCTGTTCAATTTTTGATAACGAGTTAGAAAAAAGCCTTTTCCGCGTAAACCTACCGCAAGCCGTGTTGTCAGGATTTGGAACAAATTGCTGTGTTTTTGACTCATATCATAGTCTAAACAGTGTCAAAGTTTGAATATAAAGCATGAAAAGAAGGGTTATGGAGAAAAAGAACATAGTTAACAATCTAATAATTGGTCTTACTATCTCGTTTCTCAACTTCACCTGCTGGTAAGTTCTGTTCGAGGAGAATTGTCTGCATCCTGCGGTTCCCGTGCCGTTCTTCGGGAAGAGACCTTCAAGAAAAGAAAGTAGAAAGAAAGGAAAGTAGAAGCCTTATTTGTGACATAAAATCTCCAATACATGATCTAGGAATGCTGCTAAAATCTAATTAGTAATGCGTGTTTGTGTCACTCCGGCGCTTCTGCAATTGGTGAGAGAAAGACCTACTCAGCAATTGTGCGAGTTCGGTCGAGAATGAATGACTGCAAAACATGATCCACACTTAACACTTTCAACTCTGTCAACAGGCGCAACACTTTAAGACTGGCAACACTTTCAACACTTTCAACATCCCTGAATTCGAATTTCCTCTTCAAGTTGCTGACTTCAAGAACGCTCATAATCTCTGCTAACTACGTGACGGAAGTCTTTCGGGGTATGTAAGTTTCGTTCCCCCATGGATAAGGGCATTGGTAAGCGTTTCGCTGAAGGATCGGTCAGAATTTGCAAATGTTTCCCGTGTTGAAAATGTTGCCGGTTTGCCGTATCTCGAATATGACGGTGGTTTTGCTGCTTGAATTTTGAACTCTTATCACAAATTTTCCGACAAAATTTTTGAGATTACTTCGAGGGCGCTATTTTTGAATGTGCTGATGGTTTTGCTTAAGACTGAAATTTCTTATTTGGAATTTCAACTTTTTCCATAACTTCAGTGCAAATCTGGTGTAGTTGAGAAACATACAGTAGACCTCTCCTACGTTCAGCAAAACTAGATGAATCCCAATCTGACCATATTATTCTGATATTTTAGGTTGGCAAATGAGGAACTGAGTTCTACCAAAAATTTAGCAAATCCGAAACTGACGTCGATATCGAATGAAAATCCGCTAAGTTCGGAAAGGTCATCCTGAACCGACTGAAGTTACGCTCCATACTTGAGTTGATGCACTTACTCATCATTTTTGAAAAAAACATAATTCCTTGCTCTCTCAAAGGATTTGCACATGTTTTTTGTGAGTTAGCGAAAACCCCTTTCCTTATGGTGGTGCTAAGTCTTTCGATCCACGCTTTCCAATAATGCAGAGTTTGTATAAAAAAGCACCTCTGTGAAGAGTCATGATTTTCGAATAATTGTCAAAATCGACTTTTTTGTATTGCTTAATTAAAAATCATAACTCTTCATGAGATGCTCATTTGATACAAACTCTGCACCGTTGGGAAGAGTGGACCAAAAGACTATTAGAGTGCTTGCTGGAAATTTTATCGCAAGTTTCAGATTTTTAGCAGCCTAACATAAAACGACCAAAGAGTCCATCTCAAGGGCTGCCCTTAGAGCAGCATTTGAGATGGAGAAAAAGCACCCACAAAGATGAGGTTTTCTCTACCTAGCTAAATGAAGATTGTGCAAGCCCGAGATAGCAAAAACTTATGATTTTTCAATGATGGTCAAGGACGTCCTTATCAAAGTTTCAGTGGTGGTCCGGGGGGGGGGGGGGAGAGCGGAGTGTCCCCCCCTCCTAGAATTGGTCTCGAAATTTTCAAAAGTTTTTATGGGCTATAAAAATGTGCAAGTAACTTGTTTATACTTATAAATAATCAATAAAACTTCAAAATTTCTTAAAAATTCAAATTACGGGGTGGCTGACCCCTTTTTCTAATATTTTGGGATCATGGGCCCAGAATTTTGGGAAGCATCACAAACTTTTTTTCAGTGCGTGGCTAACGACGCGCACCTTCACTCAAAAAAAATTCTGTCTTCCCCCCTCCTCCCTCCCGGTTCCGAAATCCTGGGACCGTCACTGCAAAGTTTACTTGATGTAGAATATCTTGAATCTATGAAACTATACTAACGAGATCTGTTCACCTGCAATCAGGCATGGCTGCCAGTGCACTTGATCTGTCATGGACACATGTAGTGATGTGTGAACACAAATCCGAAGTATGCGCGAAGCAATGCAATGACCAAAATGTCTTTTGTGCAAGGAAAGGCCAAAGAAATTATTTCAAACCAGGAATTTTCTGCTAAATAGGAGGAAAAATATGCGACAGTCCACTTACCGTGTACTCGATATCATTTCATGTTCTATGACTATATACAGGGTGTCCCAAAAGTATGTATACACTGTGATCAATAATATCTCTCTTCCCACGGAGTTTTTTGCCTACCTTCAGGTACCATTTTGTACAGCTAACTTCAACTTAGATTTACATGCAGCAAACTATCTATCGCTTTCCATTGCTGTAGGAATACGGTAGCAACTTCTGGCTTACAGCATCAGTGGATTAGTCGTGTTTCAGAATAAACTTCCAAAATTCTGAAAAGTGGTTTATCAGGAATATTACCCGCCCTGATCTCATTACTCAACTTTTTAGGTGTGTCCTAAAGCTTTTTAAATGGTGTAATCACAATCTTAGAGAGCACAGTAAAGACAGCTTGTGGCGGCTCGGTGGGCCCTAAGCACCTAGAATTACCCAAGACACCCGCGCGCTCGCCCGCTTACTACATACGACGCAACCTACCCTACTACTGCGCCTAGCGCGTAATAAAATACAGAATAAATTACTAACGTTTTATCCCTATGACACAAAACTACAATTGAAATAGACAAAAAGAACACTAAACTAAAAACAGATTACTACTACTGCTAAGGACTAAACTACTAAACATAAAACTCAACACGGGACGAGCTGCCCCATCCCGTGGTACCGATGCGCACGACTATAAACACAAATAAGGATCATGCTCCCGAGGCTTCACCAAAACAGATCCGCCGCGCGTCGCCGGATACCAGGCGCGACAGCCTCTCCGCTCCCGAAGTTTATAAGATCTCAAATCCCAGAGGTTTCAAAAGCAGCTCGTCCAAAAGAATCCCAAATCACTCTTCGATCCAATATAACTTTCATCTGCTCGACCGCTAACGCAAAAGAAACATCAAAAGCGGGAGCTAACTGCCAGGCACGAGCACAATGGAAAACATACGAAAGAACTATCGATCGAAAACGAAAGCGAACAGACGCTGCAATGAGGCGCCGCCGCTATATATAGCCTTTTGGCTGGCAACGCGCCAAGGCGAGGAGAGGTCCAGCGGCGATTGCGGCGAACGTAAGAAAGTGCCGTTATCGTCGCCGTGTAGCGCGGCAGCAACCAGTGCTCCCGGCCTCCTACTTCTAGGAGCGCTCGCATCGCGGAGCCGCGACACAGCTAATGCGGTTTACCTGGCATAAGTTATGAAGGAAGCACTGCGGTAAGATGTAAAGTTCGTATCTGGTTTTAGCGACTCTAATTAGCCTAGTGTAAGAGTTTCCAGATTTCCATGTTCCGTAGTCATTAAACCTGGGCATGATTGTAAGTGTCGAATATTGTTGTGCCGAGCAGGTTGTTAGGTGGTCCTTTTATTTCTGATAAGATCAGCGCGGCCATACAGAAATGCATCGTTCGTGCGCAGCTGCAAGATGATATTATGTTAGTGAACGTTCCCAATGATAATATCAAAAAACAGCTCGTACGTAACACGCTCTACGATCAATACTGCAATACGGAGCAATGCGTGATATGCCCGCACGGCAGAAGGGGTGACTGTGCGAAGATGGGAGTGGTGTATCAGCTTGAATGTCTGAAATGTAATGCACGCTATATTGGGGAAACAGGAAGAACACTCGGCATTCGCATCAAAGAGCATTTGTCAGATAAAAGGCGCAAGAACTTGGCATCGCCGCTTGGCAGACATAGGCACGAATTGCATGGTGGAGATGACTTTGATATCAAAGTCACGATTCTAACACTTGAAAAAGAGATCTCGGCTAGGAAAGCCTTAGAATCGTTCTGGATTTCTGCAAAGAATCCAGAAATGAACAACAAAAACGAGTGCTTATCCATAACCGCTGATTTTCTTCCGTTTTTATCATTATGTGAGCTATAACTGTTTACGTGACATCCCTCAGTATAGCTCAGTCGTCCGTCGCGAACATCTACATCCGGCACGGACATCTAACGAAGCGGTGGTTCCCTGATATGTCTTTTGCCATCACAATTCTTATAGCACTAGATTGCGAGAAGCGCCGAAAACTGGCAAGGGCTGGTAGAGAAGTTTGATGGGCTGGAGTTACGGATGAAGCTTTGAACCATTCCAGGCCTCTGATGAAGACGAAAGCGTCGAAACGTAAGGCCGAAGAGTACTGACAATAAAGGGACCACCTAACAACCTGTTCGGCACAACAATATTCGACACTTACAGTTTCCAGATTGTTTGGTTTGCTTTCTGAGGCGAAACAGGGTCGCCGATGGCTCAAAGCGCTTCTTGAAATTCCTAGTAATCCTACAGCAATGAAAAAAGATCATTGATTTGCTCCATAAATAAAGTTGAAGCTCTACAATATGATACCTGAAGGTAGGCAAACGATTCTGAGGTAACGTACAGATATTAACGATCAAATAACGTATACATACTTTTGGGACACCCTGTATAACTGCTGCAAACAATGCAACAATTTCACGCAATGGCGGATCCTGATTTTCAACAGCTATTGTTGGAAGCACAGATTTAAAAAATCAAGATTTCCAGCAAACCGAACGGTAACAAGGAGTTCTATGTCTTGTGCTTTGTAGATCTGATTTTTCTCTGACTCTGCTCAAGTGTCTACTACAGATTATCATTAGCATGCTAAACAGCATTTCTCGGATATCGAATCTGAAAGATAGTAATCCACCATGACTAGATAATTACTTGGAGTCTGCACATAGTTCTTCGAAATAGTGGATGTTGGATTGGTCAATCCTTCAATGAAAACTATCTTTGCGACCCCATAGCAGTAATTCTGCATTGAATCTTCTCTATTTTTGACTAGATTGGAGTTATTTTTTCATCAAATTTGCTTGGCTAGTTGATAGGCGGATACGTTTGAATCGGGAACAGTTTCTTCTTCCGTCGATAGTTCATCTTGAAACCTGAGCGGCCATTCATGTGAGTGGCTTAAAACAGCTTACAATTACGAGACCATAAGTTGTTCTATGCATCACTATAATCTATAAATAGATTAAGCTGAAGTTGTAAGTGTTTTTGTTAAGCTGTTCGTTTGTTATAGAAACGCACGTCGGTAAACCGATAAGAACCCACCTTTGCATGCGCACGTCTTCATCCCCGGAGGTGTTTGGACTAGTTTTACAGCAATTCATTGGTTCCTTCAGTCAATTCATTGATTTTTAGCACTCCGCAATAAAGTGAATCCTTATCTCTTGTTACCAATTTTCGCGTAGGCATTAACGGGAGGGCTCGTTTTCATTTCGCGGAGATGCGGTGGCTCAAGGCTGTCACAGACGAGCCCGTTCTAAGTTTGCAACGCAGTATACCCGCGCCATGCTTGATCCAGTCTATCTCATCCTTTGCTACTGGTCAGTTCACTGATTTGACCAATAGCATAGTGAATGAAGTGGGCCAAGTATGATGCGTGCTTATGCGTCAACTGATACAATGACTCGCGTAAGTCGGGAACGTCGACTATTCAAGAGTATGCGCGCAGGAACAACTGAAATTGTTTGTGAAGCTATGTTTTTTTTTCATGATAAAAGTGAAAAAGCTTTATTGTATTCGAAATGAAATTTTTAGAACGACCGTCAAATTTTGTGACAACTGCCCTATGAGTTTTTGTTTCGGTCTCGTAAAACGCGTCTCATAGGTTTTCCCAATAAGTTCTTCGGAATTTCTTCTACGAATTCTACGCCGCCGACCAAGTGCTTGTGAGGAGACAGTCTTTCTGGAATATACCTGTTGTGCTGTACGCTTCAAAGAGGGAGCACCAGTGCTAAAACTTACCGGCAACGTAAGCTTTCACTTCATCTTCGGAAAGGTTGGGTGATTGTCGAACCACGTAAGCCTTTGGTACTTCACCCTTCCTCTCATGTGGAATACCAACCACAACTGCTTCGCTTATCGCTGGATGCTCGCACAGAATTAGCTCTAATTCAGCGGGTGGCACCTTGAACACCGTTGAACAAGAGGAGACACATGTTTTTCAACAAGTAACTAAACCTGGAACCCCTTGACTTTGATAAGCTCTTTCATGCGATCTACAATGAATAAGTACCCTTTGTCATCGACATAGCCAATGTCACCTAAAACTATCAATCCAGAAGGGAGTGAGGTTAACAGTCAATAAGCAAAGAATGACATGCAATTTTCCTGAAAGGGAATTTTGCTGTACGAAAACTCAAATGAAAGCAGCACGATTTAGTTAATCCATAGGAGTGTGGTGCTACACGAAATATTTTAAACCGTTCGTATTCCCTTAGGCCCATTCTTTAACTTTTACGTGATAACTACTGCTGGAAAACCTTGAAATCAAATCACTTTTCACTGCGGAGGAATAGGTGAGTATGTATGTGATAGTCACGAATCGGTTCGGTTAAAATAAGTTATCTTCCTTCAAGGTAAAGATCGATGCTATGTTGCAAGCATGCTGCATTTAGCTGAAGAAAATCTCTGAAAGTCCTATTTAGACTTTAGATATATTTTAAAAGTAAGCGAGTTTAAGCCTTTCAGTCTTCCAATAAAGGTTGAAGGGCTTCCCCTGCTCGCATGCAGCCCATTTCCAAACTGATGAATTCAAAAGACGGAAGTCAATGGTATATGAGACTACTTTTTATCTTGGTCCTTGTCAGCGTACGATCACTGCAGTGGCTAAAGAATTTTTTTTTGGAGAGGGGAGGGGGAGAAGTTGCCATGCCGGCTCAAAAAACGAGACGCTCTTAGAGTATTTGCTGTGTAACCCAGCAACATTTAAGGAAAGGTGGTGTGGCGTAGCCATGCTCTCGAAAAAAATTTTGGCGAGATGTTGACGAGTAAAACAAGTTCCTCGAGCTATTTTACGACTAGCCCACTTTCAAAAATTTCGCGAGCTATTTGGGGAAGGGATGGACCCATGGTTATGTGTTTCTCAAAACGAACCAGGTTTGTGAAAAGTGGAGCTTTTTTTATGAATGTTCTGCTTTTCGATTACCTTACTTGTGGTCACCAGAATAAACAAAGTGAAAGGCTGGATGCCATAGGGTAAGCAGAGATTACTGAAGGATAGTAAGTTCTATTTGCAAGAACAAACGTTTACACACGAGACCGTTCTTTACGCTCTGTGCAAGCTTTGGTGCGCTTATGAAGCGACGTTACCGGTATGCATCCAACCATCCCTGATACAGTGCTGCGTCATTTCCGGTCTGTGATGGTATCCAAGCATAACAGTGGGACCACGAATGCAAATCTCTCCTACTTCACCACGCCCCTTTATGTCACCAGTGTCCGGATCTACAATCTAAAAACATTGTTGACCGAGCATTTCATACTTTACAAGTAAACCTTCGCTTCCAAATTCGGCAGGACTTTCCCAACACTTCCAGGAGGCTGACCATTGAGCAAATCTGCTATATGTGACGACAAGCATAATTCGGACATACCATACCCTGAGCGATGAATCCACTTATAAACAGATTTCATCTGTACATGCCTGACATTGCTTCAACAATGTTTGAGTATGCCCACAAACAAGCAGCCAGCGTTTTCTTCTACATAGAATTACCAAAAGTAAACTCCTTTTTTCAACTTTCATTCCGTGCAAATTTTTTCAAAGTCGACAGACCTCAATAGATAAGATCCATTGTGGCCTACTACCTTGTCAAGGCCTGGGCAGCTGTTCGATCCCTCTTGATAGAAGTGGGGACTAGCGAGTGAAATGAGTCGAGGTATACTTCGAGCTCTCAGTTCTATTCTTGAGGTGCTGTCCATCCACGGAATACTGCAGTGACCGGAAAAGATGGTAATTAGTGGGTGCAAGGTCAGAGCTGTACGATGGGTCACTTCGATGTCGAGATGCACGGATTGTGCACGGATTCCCTCGTCTTTGAAGATGCATGGGGGTGCGCGATGTCATGAAGAAGGATTCTTCTTGCTCCTGGGCGCACTATTTGACGCTGACTGACCATATCTCGTATTTGGGAAACTAAACCTCGGCGGTAACTCTTGTCACTGTCCGGTAGCAGCTAGTGGTGTATGATGCCTTTACAGTCCCACCAAATTGATAACATAATTTTTTTTTGATATGGCTTGTCTTTGGAGTCGAGTGATCCTGCTTCACCTTTGCGAACCCACTGACGTTTCCTGCTTTGGTAAACATAAAGACACCACTTTTCATCTCCAATGGCGATGTTTCGAATCCAATCAGTTGTTCTCCTGCGTCTGAGCAGAGAAGTCGAGGTGCTGCATCTGGTTATTTTCAGTACATCTGTCATTTGGTGGGATATAAGTTGACCGTACTTTGGGACTCTCCGCGTTCACGTAGACGCCTGTGCAGCGTGGTTTTGGGAAGGCCAAGGCCTGACAAAAGCTCCCGCCGCTCGATTTGGGCTCATCTTCTAAACTCCGCTTATCTGCTTGGTCAACTTCCAGCCGAGGTCGTCCCGATTTGGGCCTGTTCTCAAGGTCAGGTTAAAACGTTGGAGCCCTTCACAAAAGGAACTAGATGTTTCCCTCGCCCATTGAAGCACACAAGTTGCGTTGAGCTTCGGATGCTCTGTGACCTTGGAAAAATTCATAAACTAGACAGGCTCTCAGAGCGTGACGATCATTGAGCAGTATTTCTCCCATTTTCAAAGGCTTCAGGGTAAAATGAGATATAGCGTTCTGCACTCTATGCGGTAATACTTATCATGTTTGAGCAGGTTAGGTAAGTTCTAACGGAATTTATTAAAGAAGCTAAAAAAAGAAGTTTACTTTTGGGACAATCTAATAGATTCACATTTGTTAAACAACGACATATGCTTTCTCTCAAACTTTTACATCAAATTATTGCAAATTAGGAAAAAGTTCTGACCTTGTTGTACGAACTTAAGGTTTTCATACTTCTGAAGGAGTTCCTCGCAAATATGTCTGGGTGTAGGCGCTGCTCCGACAAGTAACGCTTCAAGGCTGGAGAGGTCGTAGTTCGCACAAATCGGGCTCCTCGCAAGGAAATCCAGTATAGGTGGAGCTGTAATGATCCATCGCACCTGCAATGCTCTTCCCTTAATGAGACCACCTACTGATTGCTATCATTTACCCGATGATTTTGAATCGCTGAGCAAAATGTGTCTGGCTCAAAATGCGACAACAGCACTGCGGTGCAGCCGTTCAAGATTGACATCATCATCATACCTCAAGTGGTAATCTTACCTTTGATTCGTAACAAACAATTAACATCATCTTACAGAAGCCAAAACAATGATAGAACGGGATTAACAGTATTTGCTTCTCATTTACTTTATCATGGGGAGGGTTCAACGCTCCCGTCAAGAAGAAGTTGTCATACCTGAAAACGGAAAAGAGAATTAGCAGTGGTCCAAACAATCGTCTGCGGTTAATAAAGTTTCTAAAATTTGGAATTATATCATTTCGTTACGAAAGTGATGTCGTTTTTTTTCAAATGAATGCCTTCCCGTAACAAAGATGATGCAGCATTTCACCATTTTTCTGATTTTATAAAATCGTTCCAGTACAGAGCTCTCGGAAAATTACCGAAATCTGCGACCCCTGCCTTTAGAGGAAGTCAAGTTCCACAATTTTTTCAAATTTTTATTTCAACCCTTCGCAGGAGCCCAAGAAACGATTTTATAGAGCAAACCTTAAGGCAAACAACTTTTTTCTCTTTTTCATACTCGCCATATCTTTTGAAAGATGTTTCACTAAAATCATTGAATTTTGGCAGGCTTATGTCAGCCACAATTGCATCAAACACAATAAGTCTTCGGGATTTGAAAAGTCCAGGATGGTACTCTGATATAACACTAATGCTACAAAGCAAATGAGAGCATACGGACTCGAAATATCAGATTTTGTGTTTCTCGGGTACTGCCTGGGCGCGTTCAAAAACATGAGTTATGATGATTTTTTCCCCGAAGACTCCATAAATCGGAAACAAAAAAACAGATATTAAAAAGGAAGTAAAGCTGCAGTGAATAGCACCCCAGCTGCTCGCCCTTTGATGTTCCATGAAATTTTTATTTGAACATGTATGGAAATAGCATCAGTTGAAATATTATTAAAAAAGTATGACGAATTACGGAAAGGAGAAAAATTGGTTTGCATTATTTAGGGTTTGCTCTATGAAAGTCTTACGAGGACTCCTTCGGATGTTCGATACAAAAATTTAGAAAATTGTGGAATTTGAGCATCTCAAAAGCGTGGGTCGCAGATCTTGGTGAGCTCCGCGAGCTTATTGATTGTGCAGTAACGACCTTATCATCATTACAAAAAGGTGAAATGCTGCTTGAATGCAATCGGAATCAGAAAAGTCCTATAGATCTCTCACTCGCTCACGCATATACGCTCCACATCTGACACTCAGGCTGTTGCTGTCTTTTTTTATTAAGTAGAAATCAAGAAACCCAAAATTTCCATGCTTTTACCGAAGTAATGCTGTGTTCTTTATACTAACAGTTGTATACTACGACCCCTTAGAAGTCAACCGTAAATCAGCTCTCTATAAGCTCTGGTTTCCGAGAAATGTTAAGTTAAGCGTGAATAACTTGAGTGAGGAAAGCTAAATTCGATATTTCTCGGGAACTACAGCTTATAGAGAGCCGAAAATCTACAATTGTACTTCTGAGGGCACATAGCATACAACTGTTAGTAAAGAAGAGCACAGCACAACTTTGGCAAAACCATGGAAATTTTGGGTTTCTTGATTTCTACCTGATGAAAAAAGTCAGCAACAGCACATATGAGTGTCTCATGTGGAGTGTATACCCGTGAGCGAGTGAGAGATCTGCAGGACTTTTCTGAATGAAGATGTAAATTTTCTTTTTCTGGGCTTCCGAGAGTTTTTAGATTTTGGTTTCAAACTCAAGACAAATTGGAGCTGGTGCAAAAGCATGAACACCATCTTATAGAGGTTACTTTGCTCTATCGAACAGTACCCTGGTGTCTGTTTAGAATGAGAAATGTTGCACTCATTACAGCGAAAACTCAAAAATGAAAGGATTTATGGGAAACCTAAGAGGCTGCAAAGTACCACTCGATAGAACAAGCCCTACGAGATGGAATCTTCATTCCAGTTCTGATCCATCTCGCCTTTCAGAGCAAAAACTAAAGAGATTCAATTGCCCGAAAAATCGAGAAAAATGGTAACTCCGTCCAAAAAATCCTACAAAAATTTTAACTTGCTCGCGTAAACACTATTTACATAGGGCATTTATATACCCATTGTCGTAATTCTTCCTCGGTTAGAAATCAAGAAAACAAAGATTTTCATGCTTTTGGCAAAATGGTGCTGTGCTGTCCCTGAATGACTGATTGTATACTACTAGCCTGGAAGTACAAACACAAATTTTCAGCTCTCTAAAAGCTTTGGTTCTCGAGACATCGAACATGGCTCCCCTTAGTCGGGTGACTTACGCTAATCTGTGTTTCTCGAAGACTAGAGCTTGTTGAGAGCTGCAAATTTGTGTTTGTGCTTCCGGTGTAGTACGCAATTACTTATGTGGGAACAGCACAGCATCACTTTGGTCAAAACATGAAAATCTTCGTTGATTATTAACCGAGGAAAAAATACGGCAGTGGCGTATAAAATGTCTTATGTGGATAGTGAGCAAGTTAGAATCTTTGTAAGATTTTTTTGGAGGTACGACTCTTTCTTGAGTTTTCGGGCAGTTGAATTTTTTACTTTTCGGCTTGAAACTCGAGGAGACCACAAATGGTGCAATATCCAGATTGCCATCTTGTAGAGCTTGTTTTGCTCTATCGAATGGTTCTTTTCAACTTATTCAGCAACGAGAGCTTTATGACTTACTGTTGTTGAAATTCAAAACGGACGAAACTTATGGCATAGTCTGATATTTTCTAACAATAAGATGATAGCCATGCTTCTCCGTCTGGAGAATTTTCTGGCATCTTCACAGGGTGTGCAATAGGAAGTGGATTAACATGGTTTAGCGTTCATTCCAAAATATTAGGATTACAGCTCACCCTCTGAAAATATTGGTCATAGCGATGTAATTCTTGTGTGTCAGTAGAACTCCTTTTGGATCTCCAGTCGTACCACTGAAAATATTGTGAAGGAAACAAATGAGATCAAACACTACTGTGCACTTTTTTTATGTCGTGTACAAATTATTTATTTACTAGCTTGCTTACCCGGCTCCGCTCGGCCCTGTCAAAACACTATAATAAAGGTCCTATTCCTATCCGTGTACAGCCTTTCCCTGTGCCCACTTCTACACTTCACTTCCCGTTCCCCTGTTGTTTTCGAAATCAGCATGCCCACTTACCCTCCTGTGCCAACTCCCAGCCCTTTAGCTCAAATTTTGAAAAAATCGATAAAATTGATAAAAGTAATAGTTAATACCAAAAACTTATATTGTATTCGTAATCAGCATGCTCGATTACCCCCTGTGCACACCCAGCCCTGTTGCTCAAACTTTGCAAAAAAATCGATAAAATCGATAAAAGTAATCGATAATCCTGAAAACTAATATTGTATTCGGAATCACTATGCTCATTACCCCCTGTGCCAACTCTCATCCTCATAGGTGAACTCTGCAAAAAATCGACAGAAATCGATAAAATCGATATCGATCGATAACGAGAAGTAGCCTATGACACGCTCCCTGCCCAGATGTATATGTGTGCCAAGTTTGGTCCAAATCGGTTCAGAAATAAAAATTTCTATTCGGCACATACGTGCACACACAGACAGACAGACAGACATAATCAGCTTTATATAGAAGGATGTATCATCGGCCCCCAGATTGGTGTGGAGGTGGAGCGACGAGCGCGCCTGCGTACCGAACATCTTAACATACGCCAAAAAGATTAGCTGTAGCGTCATGGCCGCTGGAGACATAATCTGGCTCTTTTGCATGTTTTCTTTGTATTTTTCTTTGCTTCCTTTACTGAAATCACATCAGACGAACATATTAAGTCTTTCCGCGTTCTCTTTCGTACCGAAAAGCGGTTGTTCACTAATTTTTTGCGGACGCTGTGAACTGGCATTTTTCACCGAGTCATCCTTTTTGCATTTTGGACTTATTTCAGTTATTTTCGTTTAGTGTTGTATCAGTCTCATCATTCTACGCGATACGCGAACACTTCCTGGTAGAATAAATTTCTGAGAATTTGATCATGTGTTGCTCACTTATTATTTACCGGCCCAAAGTGTCCTTCGCGCACTCAAAATTGGTGTTTATGTGAGAGTGATGTTGTGGTAAATTTGTGTGAAAGATATAAATATCGGCCGAGACCGATGAGAGAAGCACAAGTAAAAAAAACAAACTTTTATAAACAAAAAAAGAACCAGCAACAACGCAAACTGCGGTCTAACCGCAGTAAGAACACGAAAATAAACAAAGTCACACGAGACAATAAAAACAACAAAAAATATCCCCTCACCGTCCTCCGGCGGGGTTCAAAAACGAGTGGCGGCGGCGTCCATGGGATAGCCCATGGAGCCCGCGCGGTCGATACGCGATCTCTTGATCGGTAGATCGTCATATCTCATCGACATCTCCCCCCTTCTCGATGACGACGTCCTCGGCGGCATCCATAGCTGTGGCAGTCGTGCTTCCGGCGCTGCTCGACGTATAGCTTCGTATAAGACCTTCGCGTTTGCCACTCCGGCGTACTTGCTATAGAACTGCCAACTCGTCTCCGGCGATCCAATTTCTGCGTAGAGCTTTCCATTGAAGGTAACTGCTCCGGACGTGCTGAAAAATTGTCCTTTGTTGGCCATCTGTTTTATGGTCTCGTCCAGGGTCTTCCACGTGTTTCTCATGTTTTTCCATTCATCAAAATTACTTTCACAGCAAGGTGTCCAGGCAGTGATCACACGTCCGCCTTCCCGAAACTGTTCAAAAACTGCTCGGCACACTTCTTCCATGTTCGTTTGGCTCCATCTCTCATCAATTGGCCACGTTATGACCCAAGTACCAAAACTACGCCACTCGTTGAGCAATTCCCTCAGTTCTGCGAAGCTCATCACTGCGGCCACCTGGATTCCATTTTTCATACCGTCTTTCTCCATGATTGCGGCGCTTTCTGGGGCTGCGAATCCAACTGGGCCCTTCTTCAGCTGCATAGTTGCCGCGCTCTCTTCTGCGAGCTCCTTTTTGAGCTGCTGTAACGCCTCATCATACATCGCTTGAACTGCAAATCCTCCAATTTTGGCATGCGCTTGAATTCTTTGAGTACTGCACAGGAATTCCGTCCATTCAGTACAGCGGTTATATGCCAATCTAAGAACTGGCTTGAGTGCAGTTTCGTCCAAGCAGATGACTCCTCTTCGAAAGTACTTTATCTTTGTCGCCAGGTCTATGTCCGTTCTTTTGAAGACGCTACTGGCTATCCAGCCCTTCCAGATGCTGCCGACTGCTTCGTTCGCAAAGGCTCCAGGAAATGTGACTCCACTGATCTCAGAAAGTTTCGTACTCTGTAGGCAGTCATCAAGGCAGTGAAACATCAGATGTGCTGGCTCTTTTTCACTTGTCAGTTTCGCACCTCTGAAAATAATACTTGTGATTTTTCGCACATTTACTTGGCCTTTCTTTCTCCCTCTTTTCCCTCTAAAAGTAATTGTACTAACAGGTTCCTCAGGGAAATTTTCAGGTAGTACGCGCAGCTGATCGTGGGGGATTCTTATTGGTTCGCTATTTTCGCCTATTTTTGCTAGCAACGCTGAATTTTCACTAGCTTGCAGTACTCTAAATGGACCAGCCCAATCATTAGTCAATTTTGGGTGGGAAGTTTTACCTTTTTCTGCTGGGGCCCTCACATAAACTCTTTCTCCAACCTTAGGAAGCTTAGCGGTGTCCACTTTGAAATTATGGTCATAGTTCTTTTTCATACATTGCCGCATTCTCTCGTTGTGTGCGCAAATTCGTTCTTGTACCTCATTTATACCTTGCATAATTGCCATTTTGTAGTCTCCCATGCTTTCTTCCATTACGTACTTCGATATGCTACTCTGTGGAATGATGTTCGACGGGAATGTAGGGTCCATCCCATGAAGAACGTAAAACGGGCTTTCTCCCGTCGACCTATGGGGGGTCATATTGTAGGCTAGCATACAAAATGGTAGCCTCATGTCCCATTCTGTGGGGACCTTCGTTGTTTTCCTTAACATTGCTACAATAGTGCCATTAAGCCTTTCTGTAATCCCATTTTCTCGTGGGTTATAGCCCTTAGTGAAGATGTGTTCAATTTTTGAAAATTTTTCAATTTCCTGCATAACTTTATTTTCAAATTCTGCGCCTTTATCTGATAGGATTGCTTTGGGCCATCTACAGCCGTCAGCGATCCACCTTAGAAACAAAACTTTTGCTACAGTTTCTGCCGACTTGACCGGTACCGCATACGCTGCTGCGAACTTTGAAAAATGGTCAATTACTGTTACTGCGTATCTGTTCCCCGTAGTGGTCATTCCTAACTCTAGCAAATCTACGCCTACAACCTCATAAGGTTTGGTTGTCTGGATGGGTTTCAGTGGGGGTACTATCGCGGCCTTGGGATTGCTAAGAAAGCACTTTTGGCATACTGACGTCCACCTATTGATGTCTTTGGCCAATTCCGGCCAGAATACTTCCTTCCTTAATCTGTTTAATACTTTATGCGCGCTGAAGTGGCCTGCTAGTGTTCCAGCATGTGCTTCCTCAAACACACTGTATTGCGCCGTTTTCGGTACTATATACACTAGTGAGCCGTCTTCCTTGTACATTTTGAGGTACCCATTGTCCAGCACGAAATCTGCTATCTTTACATTTTCCCTTGTCCCTGGCAATCTTACTGTTTCATCCAAGTTCCCCCTTTCTACCTTTCCTATTAACTCGGCCCATTCTGTCTCGCTTTCGAGTTCTTTGAGCCATTCCGACTTTTGTCTGGTTTGCGTGGTGCATACTACAGGGTTCTGTTCTACCAGGCTCCCCTCGACGCTATTTTCGCCCTTTGTCGGTCCCCTGCTTAATGCATCTGCCACTATGTTCGCCTTACCCTTTACATATTCAATCCGCAGCTTGTAACGCTGCAGTTCAAGCGACCAGCGCAATATTCGTGATGACACTGTTTTTCCTTTTGAACAAAGCCGTTAGCGGTTGATGATCGGTCCTTACAATTGTCGGAATTCCGTAAATGAACATATGGAATCTTCGAATTGCAAATACTACGCCGAGTGCTTCGAGGTCGGTTATGTGGTACCTTCTTTCTGCTTTTGTAAGCGTTTTTGATGCGAAGAATATTGGATGAATTTGTTTGTCCTCTCCCTCTTGCGAGAGGACAGCCCCCAAACCGGCTGTACAAGCGTCCGTGAATATAATAAAGGGTCTTCTTCCACTACGCGCTTCTTCGATATTTGGTTGCGTTAATACTGGCGCTGACGAAATCATCATTTTCAGTTTCTGAAAGGCTTCCTGTTGTTCTTCTCCCCACTTCCACTCTGTTTTTGCGGATGTTAGTCCAAATAGGGGGGCTGCAATCTTCGAAAAATGCAAACAGAACTTTCTATAGAAAGATGCCATTCCTAGGAAGCTTCTCAATCCCTTTACATCGGTTGGTATAGGATAATTCATGACTGCTTCAACCTTCCTTTTATCGATGTGTACTCCTTCCGCATCGATGACATGTCCCAGAAAAGACACTGAGCTCTGCAGCAGAACGCATTTTCGAGCGTTCAGCATGAGTCCTGCGTTCCTCATGCGTTCGCAAATTTCTCGGAGGAGCTCCAAATGTCTTGTTCTCGTTTCTGTGCAGATTATAATATCATCAATGTAGCAGAATACTTCTTGCCCTATCAACCCTTCTAGAACAGTATCCATCAATCTTTGAAACGTGGCGGGACTTGTGCTCAATCCAAACGGAGTTACTCTGAATTGAAATAAGCCTTCCGGCGTCGTGAAAGCCGATTTATGTTTTGTGCTTTCATCTAAGGGAATTTGCCAATAACCACTGCATAAATCCAAAGTGGTGAAATATTCCTTTCCTGCCAGGCTTTGTAGTATCGCGTCTATGGTGGGTAAGGGATAGGAGTCCTGCCGAACACATTTATTTAGCTCCCG